GTTTGGGGGGGCAGGCAGCTGCCCCCTCCTCCTCCAAGCCCCGAATGCGCAGGCCTTGCTGCGTAGGAATCTGCCTCCCCTCAAGCCAGGCCACTGGGCACCCACTCGGCTCAGTACTGCGTGCGCTGGCCGGCAGCATCACCTCCAGGGTTTCAGGCAGCCCTGCTTGGCGCTGCCAGCATTGGACCCGGGACCTTCTGCAGGCGAGGCAAGGTGCTGCTGCGGCGGCCCTCCTCCAAGTCACTGACCATTGGTCCATCCAGCCTACACTGACCGGCAGCAGCAGCAGCTCTGGGGGATTTCAGGCTCCGGCACTCGGGAGATGCTGCCAGCGACCTTCTGCATGCCTACTCTGCCAACGAGCCACGAGGGCACTTCCCGTTGGCCCAGCTAGTATTGCCTGCACGGACTGGCAGCAACAGCGGCTCTCCCACAAGCCAGAGAGGGGATCCCTCCCAGCCCTTCCTGGAGGTGCTGTTGGGGATTGAACCTTCTGCATGCCAAGCAAGTGTTCTGCTCACTCGGCTCCGTTGCCCCTTATTGAAGAAGCCCCCCCTTCCTGCTCTCACCCCCCTCCTCTCTCCCGCAATGCACTTTTGAATCCCCGCCCCACCCTCAAAAAAAGCTGGCCCAATTTCTCCTGTGTACATCTTCCTTCTTCACAAGTGTACATATCTGGCCTCTCCAGGGCTGAGCTGCTGGATCTCACGGGGTCCCTCTCTCCCTCCTTCCCCACCCCCGAAGCCCCCTCACCCTCTATCTCCAGCCCCCCCCCCACCTTGGCCTCCCCTCCTGTAAATATTTGTAACATATGGACAAAAGAAGAAGAAAAAAGCTATACTTCAGAATCTATTTAAAATGTGAAGGCATCTTTGCTTCGGGGGGGGGGAGGGACGTGCATGGGTTTTAATTTCGGAGCCACGCCCACCGTCGTCGTGTATTTAAGCCCCGCCCACCCTACCGCTTCCTCCCTCCCCCCTTTCATCTGTCATTTCTACAGTTTTTTGCATGAGTTTTCATTTGTTTGTACAAATTTACATTAAACCGCCAAAAAAAAAAATAAATTGTGTGTGAGTGTAATTGATTGGAAATGCTGTCCCATACAAGGATCGAACCTGTTACCTTGGTGTTACCTGCACCAAGCGACCTGGGGTGAAAAGCAGCTTGTCCCACAGCAATGTGGGGCTCAGTTTATTACGCTCAGGGGCACAGCTCTGCCTATTTTCAGCACCGGGGTTGCAAATCGGACCTTCCAGCGCTGCCTCTGAGCATGTGCTGAGTGAGTTTTCGTGACTGCGGAATCGCAAAGTTGGAAGGGACCCCCCCGCGCAGTGCAGGAATCACAGCTGTGATATTTTGGGGTTTTCTTTATTTGCACACACACAGGCTGAGCATAATATGACTCTAACACCGGCACCTGGCCAGGTAGCAACAAGGGGAGTCACCTTTCTTGTTGTTGAGTCGTTTAGTGGTGTCCGCCTCTTCGTGACCCCTGGACCAGAGCACGCCAGGCACTCCTGTCTTCCACTGCCTCTCCCAGTTTGGTCAGACTCATGTTTGTAACTTTGAGAACACTGTCCAACCATCTCGTCCTCTGTCGTCCCCTTCTCCTTGTGCCCTCCATCTTTCCCAACATCAGGGTCTTTTCCAGGGAGTCTTCTCTTCTCATGAGGTGGCCAAAGTCTTGGAGCCTCAGCTTCAGGATCTGTCCTTCCAGTCAGCACTCAGGGCTGATTTCCTTCAGAATGGAGAGGTTTGATCTTCTTGCAGTCCATGGGACTCTCAAGAGTCTCCTCCAGCACCAGAATTCAAAACCATCCATTCTTCGGCGATCAGCCTTCTTTATGGTCCAGCTCTCACTTCCATACATCACTACTGGGAAAACCATGGCTTTAACCATACGGGCCTTTGTCGCAAGGTCACCTTTCTTGGCAATCCAACAAAAGGCAATAGCGGAGCCCTCACCTCTCGGCTGCAAAGATCCTGCCAATGCAAATCCTGAATCTTTTGACCTTAAAGAGCCACTGATATCTCTGAGAGGCCATTGAGCCCATCCCAGTCTCATTACAGCCTCATTCATTCACACAATGTTATCATCCCACAGAAGGGAAATGACCCTGTGGGGCAGGGACAAAAACTCTGCATGGAGGATTAGGGTTAGTGCAGGAGTGTCAACTAGGCGTCACGACTGTGGGTGCCCCAAGGCCACGGGTGCCATGCAGCGTGCAAGGTGGTGGCACCGGAATTTGTGGGTGCCCGGCCCCTTCATGGGGAGTTTTGTGGGTGTTCGTCTGCTCTCTCAGTGACCCCCAAGGGAACCCCAAATTGCAAGGGCCCAGAAATGACGGCAGCAACTCTCCCTCCTTGTTTATTCCTAGCCACTGGTTTGCAGAAGCATAGCTGGCTCCGACAGAGGAAGACGGAGGGGAAAAAATATTGCTTTTTGTGGGGGGTAAGGCTATAACTTGTGGACTGCCCAGGATGGTAGATATGTACCCTGCAGGGGCATCGAATCGAACCCCCGCAATGCAGGAAGCCCGTGAATCCCAAGGAAGTTGCATGCAGGGCAGAGAAAATAAAAGGTAAATCTCGCCCTGACCTGGCCACAGTGATCTATGCGACGGCCACCTCCAGGTTTGACTACTGTAATTCACTCTACGTGGGGCTGCCCTTGAAGCTGTCCCACAAACTCCAGCGGGTGCAGAATGCCGCAGCAAGGCTCCTTACGGGGTCTCTGCCATGGGAGCATATTCACCCAGTGCTTTTCCAGCTGCACTGGCTCCCGGTGGAGTACAGGATCAGGTTTAAGGTGCTGGTTTTGACCTTTAAAGCCCTATGCGGCCTAGGACCCTTGTACCTACGGGACCGCCTCTCCTGGTCTGCCCCGCGGAGGACCTTAAGGTCCACAAATGACAACATTTTGGAGGTCCCGAGCCTCAAGGAGGTTAGATTGGTCTCAACTAGGGCCAGGGCCTTTTCAGTACTGGCCCCGACTTGGTGGAACGCTCTGTCCCAAGAGACTAGGGCCCTGTGGGACTTGACATCTTTCCGCAGGGCCTGCAAGACAGAGCTGTTCCGCCTGGCCTTTGGTTTGGACTCAGTCTGACCCTTATGTCTTCCCTCCCCTTATGGTTTTGACTTTTAAAATGAGGCTGCATTTTAAGTTGCATTTTAACTTGTATTTTAAATGGTTTTTTTCTTTGTCTTTTTTCTTAATATGTTTTTACTGAAATTTTATTGGTGTTAGCTGCCCTGAGCCCAGCTCTGGCTGGGGAGGGTGGGGTATAAATAAAATTTATGATTATTATTTATTATTAAATGACCCCTGGACAGTTAAGTCCAGTCAAAGGCGACTATGGGGTTGTGGTGCTCATCTTGCTTTCAGGCCGAGGGAGCCGGCATTTGTTTGCAGACAGCTTTCCGGCTCATGTGGCCAGCAGGACTAAACCGCTTCTGGCGCAACGGGATACCGTGATGGAAACCAGAGCGCATGGAAACGCCATTTGCCTTCCTGCCACAGTGGTACCTATTTATCTACTTGCACTGGCTGGGATTCTGTTCACAACTTGGAGGGGGTGTCCTCCCACACATTGTATCTCTAAAATAGAAACAGCTAAAACATGGGAGTGGGGGAAGCAATAATTAAAAATAATAATAATTTAACACTAGTACACAATCTGCTAAAACATACAGGTGCAATGAACACAGCCCAGCCTTCCACTGAAAGCAGTTAGTTCCCCAAGATCTGTTGAAATAAGAGCTTCACTTGCCGGCAGAAGGACAGCAAGGAGGGAGCCAGTCGGGCTTCTCTAGGGAAAGAGATCCAAAGTTTGCTGGAGCAACCACCACAAAGAAGGCCCTGCTTTGTTTGTCCCCACCAAGTGGGCTTGGGAGGGGGGCAGGACTGAGAGAAGGGCCTTGAATAACAGCGAAATTATTAAGGGGACGGTGTGTGTTGCTTTATGCAAGCTTCAGCCCGGCTGCAAATCACAGCAGACACTCTAGGGGAATCTGCCCTGTCTTGTGTCCTTCTCCCAATTAACCTCCATCTCCAGACATGGCCAGTGGCAGCACCAGGTGGCCTCCCCTGTGATGTCACCCCAGAGCCGCCCTAGGCCTCAGGTTTGGGTCTGAGATGCTCCTGTAATGGAACCTTAAGCCAGTTGTTGTTTAGTCGTTTAGTGGTGTCCGACTCTTCGTGACCCCCTGGACCAGAGCACGCCAGGCCCTCCTGTCTTCCACTGCCTCCCGCAGTTTGGTCAGACTCATGCTGGTAGCTTCCAGAACACTGTCCCACCATCTCGTCCTCTGTTGTCCCCTTCTCCTTGTGCCCTCCATCTTTCACAACATCGGGGTCTTTTCCAGGGAGTCTTCTCTTCTCGTGAGGTGGCCAAAGTCTTGGAGCCTCAGCTTCAGGATCTGTCCTTCCAGTGAGCACTCAGGGCTGATTTCCTTCAGGATGGAGAGGTTTGATCTTCTTGCAGTCCATGGGACTCTCAAGAGTCTCCTCCAGCACCAGAATTCAAAAGCATCCATTCTTCGGCCATCAGCCTTCTTGATGGTCCAGCTCTCACTTCCATACATCACTCCTGGGAAAACCAGAGCTTTTACTATACGGACCTTTGTTGGCAAGGTGATGTCTCTACTTTTTAAAGACCAGGGCTCGCATCTGGATGTTCTCTAGATACCTTCAGGAGGAAGGTGCGATAGAATTGTAGAATAGGAAGGGGCCCAACCCCCTGCAAGGCAGGAATATTTTGCCCAACATGGGGCTTGAACCCAGATGGTCCAGACCCCTGCTGGCCTTCCAGACCAGGTAAAAATGAGAGAGAGAGAGAAGCGAGGACCATGTCATGATCCCCCGCCCCTAAGGCAGAGCGGGTTGGGCTAGATGACCCTCGGGGTCCCTTCTGACTCTGCAATCTGATAATTCTATGTTCTGATGGTCTCCTTCAGTTTGCTGCAGCCTCCAAACCAGGCATCCTCAAACTCGGCCCTCCAGATGCTTTGGGACTACAACTCCCATCATCCCTGACCACTGGTCCTGTTAGCTAGGGATGATGGGAGTTGTAGTCCCAAAACATCTGGAGGGCTGAGTTTGGGGAGGCCTGCTCCAAACCCTCTCACTTTGCAAAAACATCTAAGGATAATCCCCAGAGTTTTCTGGGGGGTGTTATTCCCTTGTGACTGCAGCCCTTTGAAGGGCGTGAGACTTGAGTTTTGTCACCTCCTTGACAAATGGGGAATAATCACTGGAGACCAGACCTTTCCTCCCACCCTGCACCCCTGGGGAGCAATTAAAGATGACCTGGTCTCTTTCCAGACTATACTCTCAGATTACTATAGAGCCAAACCCTTTTGAACCCAGATGAACTCATTTTCATTCATTTTCATTTATTCAATTTAATTCACAACCCTTCGTCAAAAGAGCAACAGACCACAAATATCAGTTGCAGCGCGTAATATCTATACAAAACCAAAGCAGTTATTGCTTCTGAGTACACACGCCTCTGAGGCTGTGACGGTCAGGATGCAGAACATTGTTCTTAAAAGCTAGTGTGAAGAATATTCCTGTATTTTTAAAGCAGGCATGGTAGCCGGGAAGACCTTTCGTTTCCTGAAAATAAATGTAATGAACAAGGCTCCAGTCCATCATGCCATGCGGATACCCTCTAAGGAGCCAGATTCATAGAAAGACAGGATTGTGGAGTTGTAAGGGCCTCCCCACGGTCATCTAGTCCAACCCCTACAATGCAGCGGCTGGGTTTGAACCCGCAACCTTGAGATAGCAGAGTTTCCTGTTCTGCCAACGTGTTTAGCATTTGAAATACACAAATAATATAATTGAGCTCTGCAATGTTTGGGGGTGGGGGGTGGAGAGACAGAGAAAAGGACTTCCCACCCCACCCACTTTGGAGGAGGATTTTAAAGCCAGGCTGGATGTCTGCAAAAGTGTTGCAGCAGGAGAAATTTGCTCCCAGAGTCGGGCCCAGCTGAGTCCACTCTGCTCCTAATGAGGTCCTTGTGCAGAGAATGATTTAAAAATTGAGAAGGTTCTCAGCTGCGGAAGGAAGAAGCAGAACCTGGAAGTGGGAGAGGTGTGAGTTGAAGAAGTTGGTCAAACGGGGGGGGGGGGCGCTTCAACTTTTGCGCAAGCAGTGCCTCCATTTCTCTCGAATTATTATTATTATTTCAGAGGCTCTTTGTGATTTTAAGGGGTTTTTCTTAGAAAACAATGCATTCCTCATTCTCTTTTAGTGACCCCCCCTCCACTCTCCCCCCTAGTAGAAAGGGCCTGTTATTTTGAGAATTCACTATAGGCTTAAATATTTATCCCATTGAGTAATTCCAGAAATACCTTTATTTTGCAACAGAAGGGGTGCTTTAATGCTTCCATTTCTGAGTACCTTAGAAATATCCCGTCCTACAGATGTGGCGTCCCCAAGGTGGGGGTGGTCTTGGCCTGCCGTCCTGCTCTTCCGGACCCCCTCCCCAAATTACCAAGGTCAGGTTAGAGAAGCCCCCAGCTCTGGTCAAGACAAGTTGCGCAGTGCCTATTGAGGTCGCATCCTGCTTCTAGGATTCAGGCGGAGGGGAATTTGTTCGCACCCACAATTTATTTTTGTTTTATGGATGTATTTATGGAATTTTCACACCCCACCTTTCTCTCCAGAGGGCTCTCGGTCACCTGCCTCCTTCTCCCCACCCCCTCAATTCCCCCACGACAACCTTGTGAGGTAGGTTAGGTTGAGAAGCAAGGAGGGCGCCCCCAAATTCACATCCGGTGGGTTTTATGGCTGAGTTGGGGATTCAAACTCAGACCCCCACACACCCCGCATGTTTAAATATCTAAATATCTTCTTGTGATCACCACCAGCATCCTAGGGATAGCTCTTTTCAAGTAGAGCATGAGACTCTCAATTCTTAAGGCTGTGGGTTCGAGTCTCACCTAGGGGAAAATAGATCTGTATTGCAGGGGGGTTGGGCTGGATGACCCTTGGCTGGGGGGGTGTCCCTTCCAACTCTGTAATTCTGTGATCGCTGATTTAGTATTAGCTGCCTTCTCAACCCGATTGACAGGTGAGATGGTTTTTAAAAACAACCCCACCCCAAATGACAAATCTGTTAAAAAACAGGTCTATATAATATTTAGAAAGAGGGGAAATCTTTGCAAGGAATGAAGCTTTGCTTGTGGGCAGCTGCAGTTCTCATCCCCAAAGGGCTTGCGATTTTAATTTTGTTTTCCTGGAGAATTGAGCAACCCCTGGCCCGCCCCCCCCCCCTGCAACCTAGGAGCATAGCAAGTAGCAGGATCAAGCCCCAGGGCACCCACCCAAGCCCAGAAATAATCCTGCCCTAAATGTCCCTCTTCCTCTGAGGTTGAAAACACAAAGAGGGATTATTTGGTACCCAGAAGAAGGAGATAAGTCCTCTTTCACGCCAGGAATGAGATTGCCTCTCCAGGTAGCTGTGGATGATGCCCCCTGGCAAAAAGGGCAGCTCAGGTGGGCAGGGCTCCCCCCCCACGCCCCCCACTCCTCCTATATAGGGTGCTCCCTTGACCCCCTGATGGAAGTCCTTTCCTCCCAGGCAAAGAGAGGAGGTGGGTATTTTTTTAGGAGGCTGGCTGAGGTCCACAAATCTGCCCCCTTCTCAGTCTGGGACTATCCAAGCCTTGCAAAAAAAAAGGGGGGTCTCTGTACCACCCTGGAGGGGGGGCAGCTTGGCTCCTGGTTCGCACCCCACCTCCCTGCCCCCAGCAAGTGGGGCCATTGCCAGGTCTCCTGGCAGAGAAAGAACCAACAAGTTTTCTTCTGCTGCGAGGACTTTTCCCTTCCTCCTTTTGCAGGTTTTGCAAGAGATGTTTGACAACTCGGACCCCCGGCATGAGCTCTGGGTGACAGAAGATGAAGATGATGAAGAGGAGGAGGAGGAGGAAGAGGAAGAGGAGGAGGAGGAGGAGGAGGAGGAGGAGGAGGGAGATAGTGACTCCAGCTCAGACGCAGCAGACAGCAGCGAGGATTCCCACGCCGAAGAAACCCAGGAGTTTGGGGAACAGTGAGTGAGACTTTGGGGCCTGCGGAATATAAGACTTCTTGGATTCTGTTGTTTGGGGTTTGTAGTCTCTCTGGGGCAGGGACTGCAGAGAGGGCCTGGCACTCCCCAGGTGTTGAATTAATAGGCCATCGCCAGAGGGAGCTTTTTGGAAAACAGAGTTGGGTGGGAATCATAAGCGTCTTACAGCTGCGTGCGCTTCAAATACAATTTTATCTCCCCCTACAAAACGCAGCATTTATTATTATTATTATTATTATTATTATTATTATTATTATTATTACAAAACGCAGCACCCTTTTTGTGGGTGCTCTTGGGCGCAGTGGGAATTCTAGTTTGCCCGCCACGTTGAACCCTGAAGGGTCCTGGCTGCGAATTGCGCATAACTAATTATTCATTACATTCAGTGCTTTTTTTTCTTTAAAAAAAAATGTTTAGGTGTACTCTCATATTGACTCGAGAAAATCTCTATTTTATAGTTCAAACTGGGGGAAATAAATACAGTAAATGGACAAAAGTACAAAGATTCACAAAATGTTTAAGGGGTATGCGTTCCCCTTCGTCTCCCCAGAAAAAAAACACTGGTTACATTTATAAACGGACACCATTTCCCTCCCCTTCCTCAGGAATTTGAAGCCTCCTTTCTCCAGGGCCATAGTCCTCAGTTAATTCCCGACAACCCTGTGAGGTAGGGCAGGTTTGTGGCCTAGTGGGGAGATTTGAACCCTGGTCTCCCCAAGGTCTTGATCCCGCGCTCTAACCACTAGGCCACTCACTGGTGTTGCGGCTTCATGTAAAAAAACAGCAACAGGCTTTTTAATATCCCTTTATTTTAAAATTGTGTGTTGTTTTTTAAATTTGCACCAGGCCTTTTGAATGGGTGCCCTGTTCCGTTACCCCAAACCCGGCATGGCATAGTGGTTAGGGTCCGAGAGACCCGGGTTCGAATCACTTGAGGGGCCAGTCACCACCTTCCTCACAGGGTGGTTGTGAGGATAATAAATAATAATAATAAATTTTTATTTATGCCCCGCCCTTCCCGGTTCAGAAAACCGGGCTCAGGGCGGCTAACAGCAAATTTAAAACAATTAATGCAACAAAAAAACAGCATAAAATACAGTATAAAACGTGAATAACAATAAATTCAGAATTCAAAAATCAATTTAGGGGGGAAATCCATCCAATAAACATTAGATGATCACCAGGGCTAGCTGGCTGAATTGGTCCTATTTGGGCCGGTGAGGAGACCAGGGGAGAATTAGCTGTGGGATCCCAGAGCAGGTAATCTTCCTAAAAAGGGAAGGAAGAGGAATAAAAGATCAGGCTAAGTTCAAATTGAAAGCCAGGTGGAATAGCTCTGTCTTACAGGCCCTGAGGAAGGAAGTTAAATCCTGCAGGGCCCTGGTCTCCTGGGACAGAGCATTCCACCAGGTCGGAGCCACCACTGAAAAGGCCCTGGCCCTGGGGGAGGATAATCTGGCTTCCTTAGGGCCCTCTAAACTATGGTTATTCGTGGACCTAAAGGTAAACGATGGAGGGAAAGAACCATGTCAGCTCATGGCTCTATAAGTGGGATAGATAGATAATTGATTTGGGGTTATAGTCATTTAACAGAGCAATTCCTCAACATGCCAAAAAGGTTTAGGGTTTTATTGTGTGTGAGCTGCCTTTTCTGGCAAGAATGCCAAGGCCATGAGGGAGATGGAGGGCAGCGCCCCTTCCTCTTTCCAAGAACTGGACCCCACCTGCCCAAAATTTCCACAGGGGTCAGGATCCAGCCTCTTGCTTCCAGCCAAAAGTGCGCCACCCGGGATCCCACCACTGCCGCCGACGCCTTTTCGCCCCATATGCCTTGCAGGAGCGGCCTTCGCCAGGTGAGTCCGGGGGGGGCAGAGGGGTCGGGACGGGGCTCCAGATGATGGGCAGAAACCGCCGCACTTGCTTCGGAGGTTTTTGAATCCTGTGGGCTGGCAGCTGTAGCGCAGCCCTGGCCAACCTCCTGCACTCCAGATGTTGCCACCCCGAAAAAACATCTGCACGGTGCCAGGTTCATTGAGTCCTAGAATTGTAGGGCTCCCTTTACAGTGGAGGAGGGCAGAGTCTGTCGGTGCCCATTGCTGTATCCTGTGGCAAGGAGTTCCACAGTTTGATGAATAACTTTCTTTTTATCTGTCCCAAATCTTCAGCCTCGTCAAGTTCTGGTGTTAGGAGGAGGAGCAAAGCTTTTCTCTGCCCATTCTCCCCATGTCATGTGTGATTTCGGACGTTTCTGTCCCGTAGCTTCTCTTGTCTTTCCTGAAACTTAACTTTTTGACGTGGCTGTCACTTTTATTTCTTGAACGGGCGTTTTTAGGGCTCAGGAGCAGCTGCAGGGTGGACCTCAAACCTTGGGGCAGAGAGACCCCGCCTTGGGAAACCCCCCTCTCCCACTGGGTGCAGGATACAAGAGCCGTCTGCATAACAAATTGGCGTACACAGCAGGTGCGTTTCGGGATGGGGGGGCTTCAGTCCGGGGGGGGGGCCTCTTGCTATTTCTTTAGAGGAGAGGGGGCACTCAACCTGCCCCCCAAAATCCTCTGCACATGCTCAAACACCCTCTCCCATGCTAGGGCCGAACGGCTTTGAAGGCCTCTCGGCTCGGCGCCTGCCTTGTCCACAGAACATAGAATGGCACCTAAAGGGGGAACCTAAAGGGTCCTCTAGACCAACCCCCTGCCACGAATAAATCGCTGCAAACGTTTTACTGGGAGGTGTCGTTATACCTGCCCCCTGGGCTGACTTTTTGTCTTTATTTTCCAGTGGCGTATAATTGCATATATCGGCCTGCCTTTGACCCGGCGCTCCGCATCTGTTGCAAACTAGAACTCCCAACAGCCCCTTAAGGGCAGCCCAGCTCTATGATGCCGGATCTCATTGGTGCCCAGCTGTGCTGGTTGGCAGGGCGTGGGCACCGGGTCTCAAAACCTCTGGAGGGCTGCAGGTTTTTTACCTATCCTCTGCTAAATACCTCTTTGATGGCAGATTGGTCTGCTTTGTGATGAATCCCGAATAAAAGGCAACTGGCTTTTGTCCAAAGGTCCTGTGGATCGTATCCCTTCCCTCCCTCCATTGCTTATAGCTCATAATCACGCCCATAGCTGCCGGATTTTCACAGAATCGTAGAATCGGGACTCCCAAAGGTCATCCAGCCTGACCCTCTGCAATGCAGGAATGGCAGCTAAAGAATCCCTGGCAGGTGGTCGTTCATCCTCTGCTTGAAAACCTCCAATGAAGGAGAGTCCACTTTCCAAGGTTGTAGAGTTGGGAAGGGACCGCCAGAGGTCATCTAGTCCAACCCGCTGCCAGGGCTTGGGGTGTTGAACATGGCTGTATGTATGTAGTTGGGGGTCGCACTCATCTCTGCTTGATGTCTTTCCCAGCAGGCGTCCAGGTTCCGCCCCCGGACACTCTCCCACCCTTCTTTCCAGTCGTTCTACACCGCTGTCTCCACCTGCAGGCGCTCCTCCCCAGCTGCAGCTGCAGTACAAGGCGCCTCGCCCTCAGAACTCGAACCCAGAGCCAGTAAGCAGCACGGGGAAGACAGAGGGGAGTCTGCTCTCTCTGGGGGCTAAAGGATGGAGGGCTCCCCTATGAGGAAAGATTGCAGCGTGGAGGGGGGGCGGATTTTTAGTGTTTGCAAAACGACGCCTGGCATATGGGGGAAACTAAAACTCCCTCGTAAAACTAGAACTCAATGGACTTCCAGGGAATTCGAAAGTTGGAAGATTCAGCACAGATGAAAGAAAGTCCTTCTGTAGCACAGTTAATCTGTGGAACTCCCTGCCACAGGAGCCAGGGATTTGCCACCGACCCAGATGGCTTTAAAAGGGGGCTTTCAATGGATGCTAGTCAGATGGGCCATTGGCCTCCTCTTATGTTGGACTACAACACCCATATTGCACCTAGCCAGCAAGGATCAGCGGACACAGGCGATGGGAGTTGTAGTCCCACAACATCCGGCGACTTGAGGTTGGAGCTCCGTTCGGAGTCCTTCAACCTTGCATCCCCAGATGTTGAACAGACAACAACTCCCATCCTCCCGAGTCAGCTGAGTCCAGTTGTCGTGGATGATGGGAGTTGTAGTCCAATGACTTCTGGGGACAATTCCCACCAGATCCGGCGTCGGCTGATCTCACCTTCTGACCTCGTGTCTCCCCTTTCTCCCTTTGAAGCGCCTCTCCCCGCCACGGACTGCAGCGGTTTCTTCTACACCGACCCAACGATGCCACCAGGACATCGGATCTACAACTGCCTTTCCGTCTCCACCCAGGAAGTAAGTGGTCTTTGAAAAAGCTTTGAAAAATTACGTGTTTCAGTGTAAGAATTCATGGAGGGTGTGGGAAACCTTTAGGAACAAGAATCATGTGAGTGTCTGGAGGCAGTTGGAGGATGGATGGCAGCTAACAGATTGAGGTTGAATCCTGACAAGACGGAAGTACGGGAGGTGGGCAGGTGTGGGGGACTCCCTGGTCCTGAATGGAGCAACTGTGCCCCTGAAGGACCAGGTGCGCAGCCTGGGAGTCATTCTGGACTCACCGCTGCCCATGGAGGCGCAGGTCAGTTCTGTGTCCAGGGCGGCTGTCTGCCAGCTCCATCTGGTGCACAGGATGAGACCCTATCTGCCCGCAGACTGTCTGGCCAGAGTGGTGCATGCTCTGGTTCTCTCCCGCTTGGACTACTGCCATGCGCTCTATGTGGGGCTACCTTTGAAGGTGACCCGGAAACTACAACTAATCCAGAATGCGGCAGCTAGACTGGTGACTGGGAGTGGCAGCCGAGACCACATAACACCGGTTCTGAGAGATCTGCATTGGCTCCCAGTATGTTTCCGAGCACAATTCAAAGTGTTGGTGCTGACCTTTAAAGCCCTAACCGGCCTCGGTCCAGTATACCTGAAGGATCGTCTCCACCCCCATCGTTCTGCCTGGACACTGAGGTCCAGCGCCAAGGGCCTTCTGGCGGTTCCCTCCCTGTGAGAAGCCAAGTTACAGGGAACCAGGCAGAGGGCCTTCTTGGTGGTGGCACCTGCCCTGTGGAACGCCCTCCCATCAGAAGTCAAGGAAACAAACAACTATCTGACTTTTAGAAGACATCTGACAGCAGCCCTGTTTAGGGAAGCTTTTGATGTTTGATGTATTACGGTATTTTAATATTTTGTTGGAAGCCACCCAGAGTGGCTGGAGAGGCCCAGCCAGATGGGCGGGGTATATATAATAAGGCAGGGAGTTCCACTGGTTAAAACTCACATTATTATTATTTTTTTAGCCTTTGTGGTGCAGGGAGTTCCGGAGAGTGGCTACGCTCGCTCCTCACCTGTTTGCCTTGCTCCCTTTTCCTTCAGGTCCTCCGCAGCCTGTCGCTGGAGACTCCGCCGCCAATCATGTCTGTCCGCACAGCTTCCCCGCCTCGCAGGGCCGGCGCCCGCACCCAGTGGCTCTCTGAGCTGGAGTGCAAGGCGGTCTCCGCTCTCATGGAGCTCCCAGACAGCACCAGCCAGGATGGGTGCCAGCCCTCCGCTTGCTTGCCAGGAGAAATGGAGGGGCTCAGGGAGATGGAGACCTCAGACATGCTGCCATAGCGCTGCAACGAGGTTGTCGCAGCGCTGCAGGTTCCATAAGGCATGTGTGAAAGGGAGATTCCTGCGTCTCCTCCCGTCTTTCTGGCCTGGCGCCGCTAAACCCCTCAAATGGACAGTGAGTTCTTGGGGGGCACAGCCTGCCCCTCCTGACTCAGCCACCCCCAAGTGAATCTCTCTCTTTCTCTTTCGTAACGTTGCGGGAAAGGGTTTTCCGCTAGGAAAAAGCTCTTTTTGCGGGAGGCTGAAATCGCACCCAGGATCCTGGCGTGACGATGTTTTCCTTTCTGTTTTTTGGTGGGGGGTAGGAGGATAGTTTCGTCCCCCAGCCAGTCTTCTGGAATCTGGCGCCTTCCAGCTGTTCTGCACTACAACTCCCAACGCCCCCCTCCATCCCGGATATGGGAGTTGTAGTCTAAGGCACCTGGTGGAGGCAGGTCTGGGCAGGCTGCGATCAGGCTTTCTTTTTCCTTTTCCTTTCTGCAGCTATGGATCTGCTCACCCAAAGACATTTAGGCAGCAGCCATACGGGGCAGGGGAGCGAGGCCAATGGTTAGAGCAACCTCTGGCTGCTTAAGAACTACAACTGTTGTCAGTTGGAGATATGGGAAACCCTTCGTTTCTTGGGCTTGCCCTCAAAGAAGGACGCAGAGCAGCCTTGGTGCCCTCCAGCTGCTTTGAACTACAACTCCCACCAGCTGGGCGCTCTTGGGAGTTGTGGTTCAAAACAGCTGGAGAGCCCCAGCTTTCAGGTGGGGCCGGTTACCCAACGTCAAAGGGAAAAAGGGGTCTGTTCTGGGTTTCTTCCTCCCTTGTTCATTTGAAAAGATTAGCAAACGACTCTTCTCGTTATTTGCCCTGCTAGGACTCTAGAGGGGTGAATGGGAAGATTTCGGATATACTTGTTTAAAAGTTGTTCTGTGTTTTGAGGTTTTGCATGTGTGTTCGTTCGGGGTTTGTCTTTGCCCATTTGTACGCAACTGAGAGATTGTTGCCTTTCTTGGGGTGGGGAATAAAGTGAAGTTGAGCTGATTCCCTGTGTGCCTGCAAACTTAAGTTTTGAGTCTGGGGGGGGGCTCTGAGATATCAAGGGCTAACCCCCCCCAGTCTCCTAGGCTGGTGGGATCAGTCATAGTCAGGCCAAAGGGGGCCTGTCAAGTCCAGTCTCCTGTTCCCACAGCGGCCGGCTAGGAGCCTCTGAAAAAAACCAAATCAGGATTCGAACTCATGGTCCCTCTCTTCCTCCTGCAGTTCCCAAAGGGAAAAAGCAGAGCCATTGTGGCTAAGAGCCTCCCTCCTCCTCCAGTGGTTTTGCCCAATCCTCTTTTAATCCACCCAGGGATTAATCCATTCTTGCCCTCCAGCAGGGGGTGGGAAGCCTGTGCGCTACAACTCCCATCTTCCTCCTTGCGCAGGGGCCAAGCTGGCTGATGGGATTTGGAGTCCGTGAAGGGCTGCCCTGAAGTTCCCCAGGTCCAGTCTCCAGAGGCATTTCCAGGCTAGGGAAATGTCCCCGTCTGAAATCCGGGGGGGGGGGGAATGGCTGCTGCCAGTCAGTGCGGGCTATATGGAGTTGTGGGGAAGCACCCGATTTGCATGCAAACGTCCCCCAGGTCCAATATCTTGAGGGCCTCTCTGGGTGGAGCTGGGGGAAAATGCCCTATGTGGAGCCCTGTGGAGGAGGGCGAAGCAGCTGCTGCCAGCCCGTGCAGGCTGTTTATAATGGGCTGGCTTCCTTTGGTGGAAGAGAGCAGGACACAGAGCACAGCAAAGGGGGTCTGAGTCCCCCGCTCTAGGCCACAAGGGTACAAAATGAAACCTAAAGTGAACCCCTGCCCTGTACAGTAATTCCCGGGCTGCCAAGAGTGTAGTTTTCGCGTCTGTTTTATTCCAGTTCTCTCTCTCTCTGCCTCCCAGCTCAGCTGGAAGCCTTAGCTGCCCTCTGCCTCCTCTCCAGGCGGAGCTGGTGGTGCCACATGGTCTCCATCACGGCGTCCAACAGGTGCAACACCTCCACCAGAGCTTTCTCTTCGGGGTCTCCTTGCTGAGACGGCTCCCTTTTGTCTTGCTGCTGCGAATCGGGGAGTTTGGGGGGAGAGAAGGGGAGAAAGAGAGCGTTGAGTAACCTCTTGCTTTCTCCCTTTATCGGTGGAATGACCCTCAGGAAGAGAGAGTGACAGACTGAAAGCGTTTTCCAAGGCATCTGTGAATCATGAGGCAGGGAGTTCCACAGGCCCGCGACAATTCCTCCACGGTGTGGGTTCAGCTGAGAGACAGCGGCTAGCCCAGGGCTACCACCTCCACCCCCCCCCAGCAAATTTCCAAGTGGGGGTTGGAACCCTGGTCTCCTAGGTCCTATTCCAGGTCCATAACCACTACACCGCACTGTCTCTCTCTAGTTTTGTCAGTACAAGGCAACAGGTGTGTGGAACCTTTGGCCTGCCAGATGCTGCCGAACCACCAGCCTTGCTTGGCGTTATTTATTAAATTTAAAAACTGCCTTTTATCTGCAGATCTCGGGGCAGTTTGTGATATAAAACCCCCCACAAAATACATGGTTAAAACTAAGAAACAGCCAATAACACATTTAAACAGGTGTCCATCAGGTTTTGCCTGGTGCCTAAAGGTCTCACGGGTGTCTCCTCCTGCTTCTGCTACAATAAACTCCCCTCTTTTCGGCGTCTCACAGAACCAGGAGAGGCATGAAAAGGGCGTAGAGAGGTGGGCTTCCGGCAGGCATAGTCTCAGATTGCTTGGGAAAAAATTCTGGAGAGGAGGAGATTCTCCAGGGGCTGTGTGCCTATTTCTGCCTTCTATCTCTCTCTCTGCCCCCCAATAAATAACCCACCCCCCAAAATACCTTCTGGGCCCGGAGAAATTGTTTGGTGAAGTGGACGATGGCGGAGATGGTCGTAATGGCTAAAATGCCGATGATGACCCAGTAGCAGTAGTAAAGCAGCGGCTGAGGGCTGAAAGGGAAGCCCAGCATTGTCGGGGAGGTGGCTAAAGTCACCCCGAAAGGGAAGTCCATGCCCCCGTAATACCACCGGGGCCGCTGCACCCCACTGATGCCCCACAAGCTGCTGTTCATCAGAAGCCCCAAGGCCCACAAAGCCATTGTCTGGCCCGGGAGGATGCAAAACTCCCGAGTTCTGATCCTGGTTCCAGAACCACCATCCCAGTGTTGCCAGGCGACCCAGGAGGAAACCATAAAGAGGAGGGGGGGAGAGAAAGACCCCCCCACACACATTTATCCCAGCCCCCCTCGTGCCAAGCCCTTAGGGACACCTGCGGATCTGGAAAACCCGCAGTCCCAAAATATCAAGGGTTGAGTGAGCATCGGAGAGGCACTCTGCACGTGCATCGATGGCTAGTGGCCGGGGTAGCTGCTGCTCGCACCCGGATCTTGCTTGTGGGTTTCCCACTTGGTTGGCCATTGTGAGAACACAACGTTAGATGGGCACCAGGGGTACAAACTTGAATAAAATATTGGGAGGCCTGCGCATGGGCACAGCCAGGAATGGTGATGTGAGCTTTTTATTTTTTAGGAAATCAAAGTTTGTCGAGTTTTTACTGGGGGGCCTGGACCCCGCAAATATTTTATAGGGACCTCAGCCCCTAGGTGTTGGCTTCTACGATGGCCTAATCCAGCGGCACAGCTCTTTGGGTGGGCTTATGGAGCCTCCAGCTCCAGGGGCAGTCTATTTTAGATTCCTAGGTTCTGCGGTGCATCTTAGGCCACTGTAAAGGGAAGGACGTTCCTCCTTTGTCCGTAGGTCATGGGTAGGCAAACTAAGGCCCGGGGGCTGGATCCGGCCCAAATTGCCTTCTCAATCTGGCCCGCAGACGGTCCGGGAATCCGTGTTTTTACATGAGTAGAATGTGCCCTTTTATTTAAAATGCATCTCTGGGTTATTTGTGGGGCATAGGAATTCGTTCATTTCCCCCAAAATATATAGTCCGGCCCCCACAAGGTCTGAGGGACAGTGGACCGGCCCCCTGCTGAAAAAGTTTGCTGACCCCCTGCCCGAAATGGTCACAAATTTCTAATGGGGAGGTGTCAATCAATCCCACAGGAGGCGATATGGGGTGGCGGCCAGCAGGGGGCAGCAGTGGATTAGTTGCTGGAGCCCAGAGGATTTTTTTTGAAGCTCAGAGCTGGGGATTGAAGTTCTTCCCCCCACGCAGCGCTACAGTTCCCAGCACCCCTTGAGTGGGGTTTCTTAGGCTTGTTGTTTAGTCGTGTCCGACTCTTCGTGAGCCCATGGACTAGAGCACGCCAGGCAGACTTGCGTCCTTCAAAAAGAGGACTGACGCAGCAATGCTTTAAAAGAAAAAAAATACTCTGGCGTGCATAATGGCTGGGTGGGCAGGAGTAATAATTTATTAAAAATGGGTTGGAGAAGAAATGTCTTTAAACACCTCCGGAAAAGTGAGTAAGGACAGAGAGGCATTCCATGAGCAGCCAAATCGACCCATATCTGTGGGGAACCCGCCCCCCCAATTAATGCCTGCTGGACTCTAAACCGCTCACAGTGTACAGAGGAGTATTCATGTGCCCTGGAATATTATTCACAGCTGTTCCTCCATACTCTGAAACTGTAAGGTACTCCAAAGTGGTGTTCTTGTCCCACGACGGGGCCTTCTCGGTGGTGGCTCCCTGCTTGTGAGGAACATGTCTCTCCCACGTTACTCACTTTTCAGGGTGGGTTTAAAGCAGGCATCCCCAAACTCGGCCCACCAGCTGTATTGGGACTACAATTCCCATCATCCCTGACCACTGGTCCTGTTAGCTAGGGAGGATGGGAGTTGTAGTCCCAAAACAGCTGGCGGGCCGAGTTTGGGGGTGCCTGCTTTAAAGCCATTCTAGTTAAACCAGGAATTTTGATGACAAAAATGATACTCGTGGAATCAGAGAAATGTAGACTTGGAAGGGTACCTCCAAAGGTCATCTAGCCCAACCCCCTTGCAATGCAGGTAATTATTTCTGAATGTGCTGCTTATACCTGCAAATGAGCACCTTCCACGCAAATCTGTGTCCTGTTTCTTTTTTTAAAATGTTTTTATTTTATTTTTTGATGTGTGCCTGTCCTACACATAACATCCTGTCTGACAAAGAGCCCTGTTGCACTCAAAAGCTTGTGACATTTCTGCGCTCCTAAGAAGGTCCTGCAGGATCAGGCCGAGGGCACATCGAGTCCAGCATCCTGTTCTGTCCGTAAGTACTGCCGCCTCTATCCATGGAGGCACAGAACAGCCATCAAGGCTGGCTGCCATCAGCTGCCCTCTCCCCCTCTGCGAATTTGCCCCATCCCCTTTTACATCCTTGCTGGCCACCGCTGCCTCATGTGGCAGGGAGTTCCGCCGTTCAACTACGCATTGCGTGGAGGAGGACTAACATCCTGAATCTCCCAGAATTCAGCATTGCTGACTGTCCACCAGTACTAGCGTTATGGAGAGAGTAAGAAAAACCTTGCCCTCTTTCTCTGTGTCAGGCACGATTTGCTAACCTTTTATCTCCAAAAAGCTCCAAAATGCTGCAACCATCTCCTTCCATCCTTTGAGTTTTTCCCAAACCTCCTCCAACCAGACAGTACCCATTTTTGGCACGATACGACCGAAAATGTCCAGTTTCCCCCTCTCTTGCGGCTTTTGGGTTTAATGCTGGCATCACCAGCAGAGTCAACTGTTTGCATTTCAGGCACAGAAAATGCCCCAAATTGGCTGCTTCACAGCGGAAAGGTTGCACTGCCATGTCTGCAGCCGGGTACAAAGGCCTGCTTATTAGCAGCCGTTTCGGAGGAGCCAGAAATAAAACGCTTGCGTGTTTTTCGTTTTTCAAGCAGGAAACATGCCTAGGAACACGTACGACGTGGCAGCCCAGAGAACTGCACTCTGCACGTGTTCAGAGGCACCCCCGAGCATCCAAAACGGAGCTTGTGGCGACTTTCCCCCCTTTGTTTGTGTATTTAAGTATCGGGAGAACGGTTTCCTTTTTACTTCATTTTCTCCCTTGAAAATTTTCAGTTACCATATTTCAAAAAATTAGAATCACACACCACTTGAAAAACTTGACTGCTTGCTGTGGCAGCACCTGAACTTTGGAACTCCCTGCCTCATGAAACCAAGCAGGTGCCTGCACTCTACACTTCTCTGCACCCGCTGGAGTCGTTTCGGGTTTAGACGTGCCAACCCGGATGCTTAGAAAACTGGCGCAAGTTCCAGCCTGTTTTTATTTAGTCTATAGTTAACTTTCAAAAAGTTTTAAATGGCCGTTATTATTTTACGGCTTTTATATTTTTCGTGAACTGCTTTCAAGTCTTTTTTTTGCAATCAAGCAGAGTGTAAAAATTTTACGAAGCAAATAAATAGCGCACGACGGATAAGGCAGAACGCCGCGCTTGCAGAAGACTCCTGTGTGACCTGGAAGTCTGCACGCTTCCTCTGGGACCGTAACCCTATTTTCTGGCCTGCCCCCTGCGTGAGGGCAGCTGCAGGGGGCTGTTCCCACAGGTCCCTGGACGCGGCTCCCTTCTCCTCCCCTCATCTCCCCTTTCCCAGATCTCTGGCTCCCCCCTTTCCTTGGGGATCAGGTAACCCACCCAGCTGCCGCCTTCCGTCAACACCGGGGTCCAGCCGCCGCCAGCTGCTCCTTCCACATCCCAGAAATCCACACACACACACACATTTCGCACGGAGAAATGAGATATGAGGGGCTGACGTTTTCCACCCGACTCCTTAAAAGTAGGATGGAGCTGGGTTCGAATCCTTGCTCCCACCGGTGCGAAAGGCAATAAGGAAGATTAAGGCAAAATTCGGGCAAAAATGACAGCAGCAATCAAAAATTCAAAAAATCTGAAATTCTATACAGAATGGGAATGCGTAGGGGAATACATGAAGAAATAGGGTGTTAAAGCAGAACTCTTAATAGGCAATTGTTAAGAGCTTAAGGACAAAAGAAGGAATTATAATTCAACGGTTTTCAAGTTACTCTGTTTTATCGAAGCAACTAGAAAAATATATATATGATGGGAAGAGCTCACACAGGTGAAGGGAAGCAGTGGGGAGGAGTGGAGGGTTAGGCTGAACTTGGGAAAGGATATAATAGGTTCTTATAGAATAGTAATATATTGTAACCAGAATAGAAGTTTAAAACGGGAATTAAATGTACTTTTAGTACTTTCATTATTGTAATAGTTATTATTTCTTATCGGTAGAAGGGAATGTTAATTTAGACTTCTTTGTTTTGCTGTCTGTATAATTATTATTTTTAAAGTCAATAAAAAAACAAGATTAAGACTAAATGTCAGGAAGGATTTCATGAGGGTGAGGGGCGTTCGGAAGCGGTGGAAGGCGGCTGGCTCTCCTCAAGTTCGATTCTTCGGCTACGATTCCTGCATCGCAACGCGGGGTTGGGCTAGATGTCCGCTGGGGGTACCCCTTACAACTCCACAGTTCAGTGGAGGGGAAAATAGAAATTCATCATAGCAATGTAGTGACTGAATCCTGCCTTCCTCCTCTACAAAACCAGTTTTTCACTTTGCATCACATCGAGCCAAAAATACACAGTACGACTGCCTTTTTGGCAGGGGTGTGTGTAAATAAATGTGTGTATATATATATATATACCTCGATTCAAGAATCTTGCAGCCTTTTCACAGGGAGCTGCCTTAACTTGTGTGGCACTTTTTTACGGTCCACCCAGCGGCTAAAAGGGGTTTTCGCCGCAAGGCGCTGTATCCCCAACAAGACAGGACCCGAAGACGACGCTTCAATCTCCAAAGCCCCAGGCAAATCAAATCCTCTTGGCAGAGTAACTATTGAATCACTGCGTTTTCTAGTGTTGGAATGGGACCCCTGAGGGTCATCCAGCCCAACCCCGCGCGATGCAGGAATCTCAGCTAAAGCACCTCTGACAGGTGGCCATCCGATGTCCGCTTTAAAAACCTCAAAGGACCCCTTCACCCCCATGGATTCCCTCACTTGCGTTCTCTACCTATGGCTTCTGTCTCTGGTGCTCAGGATCATGACGGACATGAGAAAAGATGCAGGAGAAAAATCAGCCTCCGTGGGAGCCTTGGGCTAAGGACCTATAGCTTGGGGAGGCAACCTAAGGCCCGGGGGCCGGATCCGGCCCAATCGCCTTCTCAATCCGGCCCCCAGATGGTCCGGGAATCAGCGCGTTTTTACATGAGTAGAATGTGTGCTTTTATTTAAAATGCATCTCTGGGTTATTTGTGGGGCATAGGAATTCGTTCATATATTTTTGTCAAAATATAGTCCGGCCCCCCACATGGTCTGAGGGACGGTGGACCGGCCCCCTGCTGAAAAAGTTTGCTGATCTAAAGGAACAGGGTTCTGGTTTCCTGAATGCTGTTGTCCGGTCTAGGTGAAAGGGGTGGGCCAGGCTTCTTTAGGGTTGGGGTGAAAGTTAAATTTAAAAAGAAATAAAAAGGGGGGTAAATGGTGGGTTTTGCGCTGAGCTCCGTGGAGCTTAAGAGGACCCCCGAAAAAGTAGGGCAGGACTGGAGAAGGGATGGCCCCTCCCTCCCCAGGAGGATTCAAACTGGGACCCTCTCCCTACCTGCAAGAGAGGAGGAGCCACCCCATACCAGGACTGCCCCCCCAGGAACCTCTGGGGAACAGCTCTTGCTGTTGGAATCTCCCTTCTTGTAACCTGATGTCCTGGGTTCGAGTCCTTCCTTCCAGATCAGCAGGAAAGAAGCTTGCACCCTATTCCATGGGGCAGCCCTTGAGACATTTGATGTTGGCTCTCATATATCCTCCAGGCTAAACATTCGCAGCACCTTCAACCGTTCCTCATCAGGCTTGGTTTCCACACTCTCGGTTGCCTCCTTCTGCCCACCTTCCGGCTTGTCAATGTCCTCTTTAAATTGTGGCGCCCAGAACTGGACCCAGGACTCCAGGCGTGGCCTGACCAAGGCAGGATAGAGTGGGATTATTCCTTCCCTTGATCTGGACACTAGACTTCTGAGGATGCAGCTGAGAATAGTATTAGCCTTTTTTGCCGCTGCATCACACCGTTGGCTCATGTTACGTTTGTGGTCCACCCAAGACCCCCTTTTCACATGTCCAACTGGGAAGCCAGGTGTCTCCCCACTTTTAAAACTGCTTGGGTCAGAGTTTGGGGGGGCCTCAGGCCCACCCGCCCTGCTTCCCTTGGGTCACAGCGGTTCTCAACCTGTGGGTCCCCAGATGTTGTTGGACTACAACTCCCATCATCCCTGACCACTGGCCTTGCTAGCTAGGGGTGATGGGAGTTGTCGTCCAACAACATCTGGGGACCCACAGGTTGAGAAAGGCTGCGCTGGGAGTTTGCGAAAAGAGAAATTCAGCCCCCACCTGCCTCCCTTTGGAACCACGGCTGAATCTCCGAGAGATGCCCATCCAACCTGTTTAAAAACCTTAAGAGCACAGGATTGTAGAGTTGCACGGGGCTCCCAGAGGTCATCCAGTCCAACCCGCAGGAATCTCAACGAAAGCATGCACTGGGGGGAGAACCGCCCTCCTGTGGCCCCGCTGCAACCCACCCTGGCTCCAAAAGGGGCAAGACACCCCCATTTCCTCCCCAGAACTTCACCCCACACCTCGGTTTTCCAGTTCTGAAAATCTCTTTTATTTCCAAATACGAGAGAAGCAAATAATGCCGTCAGTTCCCAACAGCAAAGAAGTGCGAGGCGTTACGAGACGGGCCCAGGGGAGTTTCGGGGAACCCCAAAATATTCCATCTCTCTGCAAACTGCTGCAGCAATTTGGGGGGGGGTCTTGACAGAGGGGCGCAGGCACTTGGGTCGGGTGGGGCGTGTGGCCACAAACGACACGGAGGCGAGACACGGGTTCAAGGCGGCTCCCTCTGAAGCAAAAAAAGCAGTACCCTTTAGCATTTCTTTTTGCAAGGGGGACGACGACACGTGTGTATTTCCGAAGTTAAGCAAATAAGTTCTGGGGTGCACGCTCTTCCCAGTCCTCCCGTGGCTTTGCGCTATAACTCCCAGGGAGTTGTAGCGCAACGCTGCGGGAGGGCGCCAGGTTGGGAAACTCCACCTTGCAGAATCGAATTGGGCAATTCGTTTCCCAGACTTACAGAGGTGGCCAAACAAACAACCCCCCCCCCAAAAAAAACCCCACACACGCACCAACCAACAAACACAGACACATCTTTGGTGGCAAGCAGGTTAGGGCACAATTCCAGAGTTCTCCCATGGGGAAGGGGGGGTAAACACCCCCCAAAAAAGGCACTTTAAGTCCAATGAACTGGGGCCGAGGGGTGGAAAAAATAGAGAAGCCAATATTGCTATAGTGCAAAAAATCCCAACAATCGTGAAAAATGATGTCGGTGACAAGGGAGGCCGGTTCGCGTATCTTCCTTGCTGGCGGAATCAGGAATCTGAAATGAGAGAGGAGGAGAAAAAAATAAATCTGTTTCAGGCACCAGGTCAACCAAAGAAATGAACCCAGAGATGGGGCGAAAAAGAGGTTTAAGGGGAATTATTCCTCCCGGTCAGCTTTTCCCCCCAGACACTTTGCACATGCTCAGAGGGGCCCTGTCCCTTCCTTCCCGTTGGCAGAGGGGGCCTTGGAAGAGACCCCAGCTCAAGAGCGCAAGGCGCTTCCCAGCAGCCACAGGGCACTTAGAAATAAATAATAATAATAATAATAATTTATTATTTATACCCCACCCATCTGGCTGGGGTATAAATACTGTCCTTAATTCTTAATCCGCTTTTCCAAACCCAGCCCCACAAGACCCCCCCCCCCAAATCTCCGTAAGAGAGAGCATTGTCCCCATAACTACGTCTCTCGTCCAGCAAGAAGCCAAGTTTCTGGAGCAACGAATAAAAAAGGAAAATACTAAAAAAAAAGGGGGGGGAGTTGTGTGTGCGTGCCAGGATGAGACCGCAGCAAAGCTCTCCCTGGTATGAAAATTATAGTCTGGGCCCGACGGATTGGGAACAAGGTTCCAGTGTCATTAAAAAAGGAAAACCAGAAGGCCCTGAGCTGTGAGGGCCAGGTCTGCTCAAGAGAAAAGAGCCTCAGAACCTAGGAGTCTTCAGGATCGGGGCCCCCTGAGGCCTCAACTGGGAAACTCGCAAGCAGGATTTGAACTCCCGGCTACTGGTAGCCCTCTCCTCCTCCATGGATTGTGGCAGGGAGTTCCACAGTCTAAGAGGGAGTTTTCTTTTCTCTGCCCTGAATCTCCCCAAACCCAGCTTCACTGGATGCCCACGAATTCTCGTTTTGTGGGGAAGAGGGAAGAGACGTTTCTCTGTCCGTTGCGTAATGTCATCAGCTTCTATCTTGCTGCACTGAACTCGCCTTTTCTCTCAACGACAAAGCCCCAGGGCTGCGCAGGGGAGGCCCTGTCACCATCCCAGGGGATGAAGTTTAAGGATGGAAACTGGGGGGGGGGGGCAGAGAGACAGCGAGGGGGGGCTGGAAGAAGAGATGGTGGGAAGGAAGGAATATGAAATAGGAGGGAGGGAGGGAAAGGAAGGAAGGAAGGAAGGAAGGAAGGAAGGAAGGAAGAGGAAGGAAGGAAGGAAGGAATATGAAATAGGAGGGAGGGAGGGAGAAAGAAAGAGGAAGGGAGGGAGGGAGGGAGGGAGGGAGGGAGGGAGGGAGGGAGGGAGGAAGGAAGGAAGGGGGGAAAAGATGAAGGAAAGAAGGAAGGAAGGAAGAGGGAGGGAGGAAGATGAAGGAAGGAAGGAAAAGAAGGGAAGGAATATGAAATAGGAGGGAGGGAGGGAGGGAGAAAGAAAGAAAGAAAGAAAGAAAGAGGAAGGACGATGAAGGAAGGAAAAGGAAGATAAAGGAAGATGAAGGAAGGAAGGAAGGAAGAGATAAAGAAAAAGAACAAAAGAAAGAAAGAAAGAAGGAAGATGAAGGAAGGAATGAAAAGGAAGATAAAGGAAGGAAGGAAGGAAGGAAGGAAGGAATATGAAATACAGTCATACCTCGAGTTATGAATGCTGCGGGTTGCGCATTTTTGGGTTGCGGACCGCGCTGAACCTGGAATTACCGGAATGGGTTACTTCCAGGTTTCGGTGCTCGCACATGCACAGAAACGCAAAATGATGTCATGAGCAGAAGCTCTGAATCGCATTACGCGCATGTGCAGATGTAGCACTTCAGGCTGCGGGTTGCGAACGTGCCTCCCCCACGGATCATGTTCGCAACCAGAGGTATGACTGTGGGAGGGAGGGAGGGAGGGAGGGAGGGAGGAAGAAGAGAGAGGAAGGGATGAAGAAGGAAGAAAAAGGAGGATAAAGGAAGATAAAGGAAGGAAGGAAGGAAGGAAGGAAGGAAGGAAGGAAGGAAGATAATGAAAGGAAGAAAGGAAGAAAAAGGAAGGAAGGAAGGAAGGAAGGAAGGAAGGAAGGAAGGAAGGAAGGGGGAGATAAAGAAAAAGAGCAAAATAAAGAGGAAGGAAGACGAAGGAAGGAAGGAAGATAATGAAAGGAAGAAAGGAAGAAAAAGGAAGTAAGGAAGGAAGCTTTTGTGGCACACCCCAAAAAAGGAACAAGTGGAAAACAGCTTAGAGGAAAAGAAGGGCAGCCCTGGATCAGTGGTGGCCTGCAGACTGGATGTGGCCCCCAGGCCTCTCTCTGTGGCCCTCGGAACCCTCTCCAAGGCCACTCCCCTCGCAGACCTTGCTCCGCCCCTTCCTCCAGTGATTTCCCCTGGGCCTTGAGCTTTGGCAGCGTGGCAGAGGATGGAGAGGGGGGTGTGCAGGAACTCTCCCCCTTGCCATGAAGGCGAGAAGGAAAGAATGGAAGGAAGGAAGGGGGGAAAGAACTTGCCCCCCCCCCGCTCTCCAGGGACGGCAAGGCGGCCTCAGCTGTCGGAGGAAGCAGATAAATATAGAGAGGAATTTTAACAGGGCAGGTGAGGATTTGGGGAGATGGGGGAGGATGTCTTCTCTTCAAGCCCCCAAAACCGGGGGGGGGGGCAGCATGCAAATAGGTTTCTCCCTTTCCTAGAGTGCAGCCCCCACCCTTTCCCCAACCAGATGCTTTGGTTGGGGAAGGGGGGGGGGCAGCCACCTACGAAACTCACACTTGCCGCAATGGGCTCTCAAGACGCGCCCATTTTGCAGCTGGGGAAAACCGAGGCTAAAAAGCGGGGCTTGCTCCTTTGTGGGCCAGCAGAGATCCCGGGGTATAGAGCGCTCTGGAAATGATCTGGTGGGGGCAGGAGGGGACAGACAACGAACGATGGGAGATTTCGGGCAGATAAAAGTACTTTTTCGCATGGCCTACGGAACTCCCTCCCACAGGAGGGCTGTAAAAGAAGACTGGGCAAATTCCTAGAGGGGAGGGCTATCGATAGCCGCCGGCCGCAATGGCTACACTCTGCCATACATTCTGAATATTTGTTCCTAGAAACCGCAGGAAGGGAGAGTGTCGGTCTTGTGTTCGAATCCTGCTTTTGGGCTTCCCCTGACGGGCATCTGGTGGTGGCCGCTGTGAGAACAGGGTGCTGGTCTAAAGGGGACCCCTTTGGTCTGATCCTGCAGGCTGTTGAAGAAATCTAAGAACTGACACCTCTCTCTTAAAAGCAGGAAAGGGTTTGTATTATGTCTCTGGAGAGGTGGGGGGGGGGAATATGGGGTTGGGTGATTAAAGCCTGACGTGGCTCAGGGTCTCAGTACCTTAAGGACCCCCTCTCCCCATACATAGCACCCCGGACCCTGCACTCTTCTACATCCCCTCCCCACCAGAGGGTGGCAACAAGAGAACAGGGCCTTTTCGGTGGTGGCGCCTTCGTCACATATATTTAGACACCAGGCAAAAACATTTCTCTTCAGAAGAATGGCAGATGAAGATGATGGATTTTTCGGAGCTGGCCGAGTCCGCAACCAGAAGGAGGACGAGTATCAGGAAGAGTGGATTAAATTTAAGGATTACTTAGTTAAATATGTTAAATCAAATTAACTGAAAGCAGCTTGCAGATACTGAATTGGCTTAGGACTTTATTTATGTTAAGGGATGAATTAATATGTTTAATTTCATAATGTGAAGATCTAAGGGTGTTAATGTTTAAGTTAAATTTTATAAGAACTGTGATTTGGAAATCCGTTAAAAGGACATGCAATGAAATTCAACCAAGGGGAAGCGAGGAAGTCACTTAACAATGATAATAAGTGTAATTTTCAATAAGGCTATGATTTATGTTTGTTTGTCTTATGTGTTTGTTTATAATGTTGTAAAAACCAATAAAATTTTTTTTCCCCTCCTCTTCAATGGCCTTTGGCCATGAAATAATCTATGGCCTGTTAGAGCTGGGGGGGGCGGGGGACTGTTATTATGATTATTTAATTATTAAGCTGCATTATGTGTACTATGTTTTATTATTATGCTGTTACGCTTTTTATTACGGCGCTCTGCAAAATGTGTTCTTAATGTTTTACACCGACCTGGGATCTTTTAATAAAGGGCAGTATATAAATTGAATATATTATTATTATTATTATTATTAGGTTATTATTAGCCCAGTCCCCCATTATACCCACTCCATATTTCTCCAAGGCAACTGGTATTCTGTGGCGGGCTGCCTCTGAAGCAGGAAGTAATACAAAAGCAATTAATTTATAATTATTAATCAATCTGTTGTGGCAAGCAGCAGCCTTGGGTAGACGCCCATGGGATTGGCCTGAGTCACCTTTAAAAGCCCCCAAAGCAAGCCAGTGACTAACCCCCACATCATGTGTCGGGGAGTTCCACATGCTAAGCAGAGCACAAAGGCCTCAGAGAGGGAGGAAAACGCCTCTTTTTGTGCTACTCCTGCATGGATTTTCCCACTCCAACCTCCGAAGCCCAAATGCTTCTGCCGGTCATCCGAGGAGAGACCCCCACCCTAATTCTGTCCAGGGATTTTGGCCCTGCCAAGGTGGCCTTAACTTAAACCTTAAGCATTCACAGCTGTGAAAACACCTCTCCAAATCAGAGGCCTGAAATTAAGATGGGGAAGGAGGCTGGCCAAGATTTTTCAACCCACGGCCAGCTCCACCGTTTGCAATGCCAGAGGCAGCGGCGGTGCAGTGGTTAGAGCGCCAGACCAGAACCTGGGAGAGAGACCAGGTTCAAATCGCGCCCCTCAGCCAGGAAGTTCACTGGGTGGCCCCTGCCCAACTAGCCCGCCTCACAGGGTTGTTGTGGGGGTTAAATGAGGGGGGAGAGGACCGCGTACGAAGAACCTGCTGCATCAGGCCAACGGCCTCTCTGGTCCCGCAGTGGGAAGCCTGCAATCAGGATTCGAACACAAGACCCCCCCCCTCCTCCCTGCAGCTTCCAGCACCTCCAAAAATTTGTCTTCTAAAGCCATCTGGGCTGCTGGCCGGGGCTGCTTGCTGTGGGCGGGAGTTCCGCAGGTTAACGGCGTGGTTCTTTTTTATCTGCCCGTTCGGGTTTCGTGAGATGCCCACGAGTTCGAGTGCCGCACGAGAGGGAGGAATACTTTCTTCCATCCGTGCCGGGCTTTAAGTTTACAAATTTCTGCACCTACCTGAGCTCCCTGGGGTAGAAAAAAGAGGGGATCTAATTTGCAATTGAATAAATGAATATGAAGAACTGCTGTGCCCCTAGCTCAGCCCAAATGCAGAGCCAGACTTGGCTGCACACCTGCCTGGCACCCATGCTTCATTTCCCGACAGCATTTCCAGGTACCCCCTTGCCTGAAACCCTGGACAGCTGCTGCCGGCCAGTGTCTGCAATATTGCGCTAGGGGGAACCCAAGTGTCTGGCTGGGCAAGGGCTGCAGTTCAGTAGCAGAGCGCTTCCTAGGCCTGCAGAGAAGGTTGCAGGATTCAGTCCTGCACTGCGCCCACGCTGGCGAGCTGCCACCCCTGCTGCCAGCCAGTGCAGGCTATATTGAGCTACCCGTGGCTCTGTTGGCCTGCCTCGGGATGACGACGTCCCTCTCCTCCCCGCACGAGGAGAGCACAGGGACCGCAAACTGGGACACCTGGGTACGTCGCCAGGAGTAATTTCGGACCGCGTTGTGCCGCCAGGTGAGCCTCGCGGCAGGTGCGCCGCCAGGTTGGCGGCTGATAAGGCAAAGCAAACATGCCCCAGGCCTTGCAGGGAGGTTTGGAAATCACCGTGGTTAAGGAAGAAGCCAAACCCGATGTTTTTCCTCGCTGGGCAGAGTAGGGGAGATGCTAACCTGTTTCCCAAAATTGCAGGAAAACGCTTAAAGGAGTTTAGAGGAAAGGCGAACAAATGGTGGCGTTGTGGAAGTTTGCAAAATTATGCCCGGCAGGGAGAAAAGGGATGGGGGGACGTTTTCTGCCCTCTCTCTTGTAAGATTCAAACTTGTGAGCATCCCACACAGCTGAATATTGGAAGATGGAGGGGGGGGGAAATATTTCAGTTGGAGGCTATGAAGGATAATGGCTGAAGGCAGCCCTGTTTAGGGAAGCTTTTAATGTTTAATAGGTTATTGTATTTTAATATTCCATTGGAAGCCGCCCAGAGTGGCTGGGGAAACCCAGCCAGATGGGCGGGGTATAAATTATTATTATTATTAATTATTATTATTATTATTATATCAGTCTCTCATTGTTTAATTGGTAGATTTCTCTGGCATTTATTTTCAGGAAGGGGGGGTACAGTAAAACCCCAAATGGGTGATCAAGACGGAATTTTACTCAATAAACATATTTTAGAAGTTTACAGAGCCATGACATTTATAAATTTTAATGATTGACTGCCTGTTTTTATGTTCTTATGTTCTTTGTGTACTGTGTTAGTTTTATGATGTTAGCCCGGCTGCGGCTGGGATAAAAATAAATTATTATTATTATTATTATTAATGAGATTTCAGAGTTGATTGTTAACGACATTTGCTCTTTATTACTTATTAAAGCGTATGTCTGCAAAAAGAAAAAGAAAATGTTGGGAAGATGAAAGAAAGCATGTGGTTGACCTACGGAACTCATGTCCACTGGAAACAGTGACAGCCACCGACCTGGGGGGCTTCCGAAGAGGATGAGACAAACCCATGGAGGAGGAAGAGAAGAGGGCTCTCGATGGCTACTAGGCAAAGCTGTCAACGTTTCCCTTTTTTTAAGCGAAATTCCCTTATTCCGAATAGGATTCCTCGCAAGAAAAGGGGAAAGTTGACAGCTATGCTGCTAGCCGGAGTGGCTCTGCTCAGCCGGAAGCAGCGCTGCTTCTCTGAATACATAGAAGACTTTGAAATAACTTAGGAAGGCTGCGATTTTTAAAAAAATACCTAGCTGTGCTGGAAGCGCAGTACCTGCACCCGGAACCCTTTCAACCTACAATTCTAGGGGGCAGACTCTCCTTCGCTGGAGGTTTTAAGCAAGAGGCTGCGTGGACCCCCATCGCCAGTGGTTCTGTAGCTGCGACTCCTGATCCGAAAGGGGGTTGGTCTGGGTGACCCTTCTTGGGGGGGGGTCCCCTCCCAGCAGTTCTACGGCCCCGATCTAGCCAAGGGGGGTGCCTCAGGGTTCTGTCCTCTTCCCCATGCTTTTCAACATCTATAGTGGTGCCCGCCCTGTGGAACTCCCTCCCACCAGATGTCAAAGAGAAAAATAACTACCAGACCTTTTAGAAGACATCTGAAGGCAGCCCTGTTTAGGGAAGCTTTTAATGTTTAATAGGTTATTGCATTTTAGTGTTTTGTTGGAAGCCGCCCAGAGTGGCTGGGGAAACCCAGCCAGATGGGCGGGGTATAAATAAATTACTATTATTATTATTATTATTATTATTATTATTAGGCTGAGTGTTCATCAGTATGCGGATGATACCCAGCTCTACCTCTCTTTCAAATCAGAACCAGTGAAGGCGGTGAAGGTCCTGTGTGAGTGTCTGGCGGTGGTTGGAGGATGGATGGAGGCTAATGGATTGAGGTTGAATCCTGACAAGACAGAAGTACGGGAGGCGGGCAGGTGTGGAGGACTCCCTGGTCCTGAATGGGGCAACTGTGCCCCCGAAGGACCAGGTGCGCAGCCTGGGAGTCATTCTGGACTCACAGCTGTCCATGGAGGCGCAGGTCAGTTCTGTGTCCAGGGCGGCTGTTTACCAGCTCCATCTGGTACGCAGGATGAGACCCTCCCTGCCTGCGGACTGTCTGGCCAGAGTGGTGCATGCTCTGGTTATCTCGCGCTTGGACTAGTGCCATGCGCTCTATGTGGGGCTACCTTTGAAGGTGACGCGGAAACTATAACTAATCCAGAATGCAGCAGCTAGACTGGTGACTGGGAGAACACATAACACCAGTCCTGAAAGACTTACATTGGCTCCCAGTACGTTTCCAAGCACAATTCAAAGTGTTGGTGTTGACCTTGAAAGCCCTAAACGGCCTCAAAGTCCCAGTAGACCTGAAGGAGCGTCTCCACCCCCATCATTCAGCCCGGACACTGAGGTCCAGCTCCGAGGGCCTTCTGGCGCTTCCCTCCCTGCGAGAAGCCAAGTTACAGGGAACCAGGCAGAGGGCCTTCTCGGTGGTGGCACCCGCCCTGTGGAACGCCCCCCCCCCCATGTCAAAGAGAAAAACAACTATCAAACTTTTAGAAGACATCTGAAAGCAGCCCTATTTAGGGAAGCTTTTAATGTTTATTAATTATTGTATTTTAATATTCTGTTGAAAGCCACCCAGAGTGGCTGGGAAAACCCAGCCAGATGGGTGGGGTATTAATAATAATAATAATAATAATAATAATAATAATAGGACCTCCAAGCCACAGTGTCAAAGGAGAAGCGCCTGCCCCCAGCTCTAGGGACACGGAGAGCTTCCAAGCTAGGAGCAGCAGTGACCTTTCTCTCCCTAACCCAAAAAATCACTGCATGTTTCTCAATCCCGTCAGGCTAGGAATAGACTTTTAACAGCCCCTAGTAAATGCTTCCGCGAAAAGCCTGCCTGTTTACCCGGGAGGAGGAGCAGCCACGGAGAGGAGAGTCTCTCCCTGTCAGCAGGTTTCGTAGAATCTCTGAATTGTAAAGTTGGAAGGGGCACCCAGGGGCCATCTAGTCCAACCCGCCCCTCCGCAAAGCAGAAATTGCGGCTGAAGAATCTCGTGACAGGTGACCACCCAACCTCTGTTTAAATGCCTCACCCGCACCACGCCTTTAAAGCAGAATCACACAGCTTTAAGCAGACACGGCTTCCCCCCCAGAGAATCCTGGGAATTGTAGTTCGTTAAGGGTGCCAAGAGGAGACCCGTATTCTCATCCCTGAGGTTCCCAGCGAAGAGGAATTGCAGGTTTGCGAGGGGATTAAGGGAGTCTCCTCAAAACCCCCAGCCCCTTTCACAAAGCGCGACTCCCAGAATCCTTTGCGTCCAGGGGCGTTGATTGGTTTGTGTCTTCATTCCCAGTTTTATTACGTGTTTTGTGTTTTTACCTATGTGTTTTTATGCTGTGAACTGCCCCGAATGTAGGGAAATTGAACAAATAATGAAACGGAACGGCCGAACTTTAAACGGATGCAGCCGTCCTCGCTCCCCAACCCAAGAATCCTCTTTGTCACGCTGCAGAGAACGGCTACAAGATGTATCGATAGATCGCCCAAAACCAGTTTGAAGTCCACATCGTGATATCGGCTTCATAGTTTTGGACCTTGCAATATATCACGAATCATGATGTGTGTCAGGTCTGCGCGACATATATCCTCCAAAACTGGTTTCAAGTCAGTATAGCGATATCAGTTTCCTAATATTTGATCTGGAGATATATTGCAAATCATGATGTGTGTCTGCTTTGCAAAAACCACAAAGTGGGGGAAACTGTGAAGCCAGCAAATGTCTCTATGTAGCTCTGTCCTTATTTCAGACATTGCGATACAGTGCTACCTTGGTTCTCAAACGCCTTGCTGGTTCCCAAACCCCGAAAACCCGGAAGTGTTCCAGTTTTCAAAAAAAATTTGGAATCCGAAAGTCCAATGCGGCTGTCGGATATTGTTTCCGGGGCGCCTGCACAAATCAGAAGCTGCGCCTTGGTTTTTGAACATTTCAGAAGTCAAACGGACTTCCAGGATGGATTAAGTTTGGCAGCACTTTTGTTTTCACTATTTATTTTGCGTTTTTGTTTTTTGAGGCTTTTTTGGTTAATTTGTTTTTGTGACTGTGTGGAACCCAGTTCAGCTACTGGTCGATTGACTGCATGACTGAGGAACAATGACTATCATCAGCGCAGATAAAAAATTTTGTTTAATTTTTATCATCACAACACTGCCTTATTTATTTTATAGTACAGTAAATTGTTTATTGCTTTCATTTTATGGATCAATGGTCTTGTTAGATAGTAAACTTCATGCTGTCTGAGGGGTTGTTTTTAAAAGTCTGGAACAGATCAATCCGTTTTGCATTACTTTCTATGGGAAAGCGCACCTCAGTTTTGGAACGCTTTGGTTTTGGAACGGACTTCCGGAACAGATAAAGTTTGAGAACTAAGGTAGCACTGTACAGTGGTACCTCTGGATGCAAACGGGATCCGTTCTGGAGCCCCGTTCGCATCCTGAAGCGAACGTAACACGCGACTGCGCGACTTGCCACTTCCACACATGTGTGTGACGTCATTTTGAGCGTCTGCGCATGCGTGAGCGGCGAAACCCAGAAGTAATGCATTCCGTTACTTCTGGGTCACTGCGGAGCGCAACCCGAAAATGCTCAACCTGAAGCGTACTCATCTTCATCCTGAGGTATGACTGTACAGTGGTACCTCTGGTTTTGTACTTAATTCGTTCCGGAGGTCCGTTCTTAACCTGAAACTGTTCTTAATCTGAAGCACCACTTTAGCTAATGGGGCCTCCCACTGCCGCTGCACTGCTGGAGCCCAATTTCTGTTCTAATCCTGAAGCAAAGTTCTTAACCCGAAGCACTATTTCTGGGTTAGCAGAGTCTGTAACCTGAAGCGTATGTAACCTGAAGCGTATGTAACCCGAGGTACCACTGTATACCAATATATTGCGATGTTCAGCTGGTGATACAGACATGTTGTTGAAAACCAGGTACCTGCCCCACCTTCCCACCAACACCACTCACCTGCCCCCTCTGAGCTCGCCTTCTGCCCCCGCAGCTCCCCAGAGCGGTGGAAGTCGATGCTGGCATAGCTGTGGATCACCCCAGCCGGGGCGGGCACCGCTGGCAGCCGCAGGACAGGCGCCGCCTCATTCGCCAGGTCCAAGTCGATGTAGTTCAGGCCTGGCTCGACTTGCGCCTCTCCGGCCTGGGGCCCCACCCCATTCCTCTCCGCCTCGGGGAACGTCTCGGAGCAGTGCCGCCTCCTCCCTTGCGAGCGGGCACGTACCAGTCGGGTCCCGGGTGCCATCTCGGCGTAGTTGTCAGATGCCGACGGGGCGAGTCCCTCTGGCGCAGCCCCGGCCGACATGTTGATGTAGTCTGCAGCCGCCCAGGACCCGAACTCGATGCTGACGTACTCGCCAGCGCTGCGGGGCGGCGCTGCCACTTCCCGGCAGGCAAACAGGGTCCGCGGGTGTCCACCCGCCTCCTCCAGGCTGTCAGAGCTGGTGGACGAGGACCCGGAGAGGTGGCGGGGGTCAAAAGGGCGCAGTGCGGCCTCCGGGATGTGCTTGAAGGAGCGGGGCAGGGAGAAGAAAGGGGCACCGCCGGGCAGGGGGCTGCGCTCCGGTGGGGTGCTGGAAGCCGAGTGACTGGCGGACGACATATCCATGTAGTCGCCGCCGCCGGGGGATTTCGCCCACCGGGCCGCGCCGTCCGGGGAGCTGCCGCCGCTGGGGGACATCAGCATGTAGCCTCCTCGCTCGCGGGACGGGGAGGCGCTGCCCGGCGCCATGGGCACATAACCGCGGTCCTCCGTGGGCACGCCAGGCAACATAGCCATGTAGCCAGGATCGGAGCCGCGGAGGTTGAGGCCTTCCGGGTAGCTGGCAGAGACGGCGGGCGGCTTCCTCCGTGGCAGACCCTCCTTCTCCAGCGCCACCGGGGGCAGAGAGGACCGCTTGTTGGCCTCCGCCGCCCAACGTGCCAACGAGGCGCTGTCTGGCGATGCCCTCTTGCCCATGGTGACGTAGTCTAGTTCGCCTCCCACCAGCAGGTAGGCCAGGGGGTCGGGCGTCCCGGCAGGACGGCACTCGCCCGGGCTGGAGCCGCCTTCATCCGACGAGACGGCGCTGTAATCGCTCAGGGAACTCGGCTTCCGCGGCCCAGGCACCTTCTGCGCCCCAGGCACGTGGGGAAGGCAAGGGGTGCTCTCCGGACGCGGGCGCCAGAGGAAGGTGCCCTGGCCGGCCGGAGGGTTCCCCGGGTGCTGCCGCCGGGGCGGCACCGAGATGGGTGTGGAGGCCAGCGGCTGGCTCTTGGCACGGACCCGGAAGTCGTCGCTCAGCGCCTTCATGGCCTCCAGGATGGTCTCGTGCATGTTCTGCGCCACCACCAGGTCCTCCACCTGCATCCACAACTCGCCGGGCCCCGTGGCGGCCGAGCGCCCAACCTCCATGAAAAAGTAGTTCTCCGAGTGGCCGCAGCGGCGGACGCTGAGCAGCTGCAGGACCACGGCGGCCACGTCCGAGTTCAGCCGGACAAAGTCGATGGTCTTCTCCGTCAGGCAGAGGAGGTAGACGCCGGCCAAGTTGCGCGTGTGGCCCAGGCCCCGTGGGCGCAGGCTGACCTGCCAGACCTCCTTGAAGGGCTGGCGGGGGGAGGAGGCCGAATCGCGGCCGAGGGGGGCATTTCCTGCGAGGGGGGAACGAGAGAGGAAAAGGCGAGTGAGAAGGAGGCCGTTCAGTCAGCTGCAATTCCTGCCTTGCAGGGGGCTGGGCTGGATGACCTTTGGGGGTCTCCCTCCCAGCTCTTCTGTGATTCTGCAAATAAATAATTGTACAGGGGGAAAGTACCTCTGAAGGTCTTTTGGACAACCCCTTGCAAGGCAGTAATCTCAAGTAAAGCATACATGATGGTGCATAGAGAAGTTCCTCTCTCCTAACTCAGAAGGCACACCAACCAAGCTGAGTGTTGGAGGAGGGTTCAGGACAACCACGGGATTGTAGAGTTGGAACGGGGTCTAAGGGTCATCTAGTCCAACCCGCTGCAACGCAGGGATTTTTCACCCAATGTGGGGATCAAACCCACAACCCTGAAATGCAGGGTCTTGTATCCCAGCTCATAGTAGCGGGAGACAGTCCAGGTCCAGGCCACGTGGAAATGAGCAGAGGCACTGCAGTCGAATCCCGGGCAGACGGCCATCCCACCTGCGCTTAGAAACCTCCAATGAATCATAGACCTGCAAGTTGGAAGGGGTCCCCAAGGGTCCTCTAGCTCAAACCCCTCCAGCAAGGCAGGAATCCTGTCTGCAGCCGTCCCTGGGTGGCCGCAAACTACCAACCTTCTGGTTAAAAGCAAGACGCACTGACCCTGAGCAGAGAAAAGGAAGCGCACAGTTGGACTGCGGAACTCCCTGCCACAGGAGGCGGCGTGACCACCAACCTGGACGGGTTTAAAAGACGATGGGACAAAATTCACGGAGGAATTTTGATGGTGACTAAGCCACGAGGGCTATCCTCTGCCCTCCACAATGGGGGGCAGCGGTGCTTCTGAGGACCTGCTGCTAGACACCGCAGCAGGAGAGAGCTGCTCTCGCACTCAGACCCCACAGGAAACCCCGCACATCCCACCCGGACTGGCCGAAAGGATCTGGCCATGTGGCAAGGAGTGCTCTGGTTATTCAGTGGGCTGGAGGGGGGGGAGGAGGAGGAGGAGGACAATGGTGGGGGGCACAGAAGGTGAAGGCAGTGGGCGGATGGAAAGAGAATCGGGTAAACAGACCCAAAAACAGCCGGGCGCCCTGGCAACAACCGCCGTGCGCGCGTCACCTGGAAAGGAAGGAGAGGGACCGGTTGCCGGGGAGATTGTGGCAGGATAATTCAAAGCCCCCCCCTCGCCAACCTGAGGTTAACTCCGGGGTTCGGGAAAGAGCAAATGTTTAAGCTAAACAGTTCGGGGAAAAGTCGAGGGGGGGGGAGAGGACAGAAGATGCTCAGAGAGAAAGGTGTTGCAGGTCCAGCTGTGAATCACAGACCCCCCCCTTCCCAAAATAGGGGGGGCGGGGACAACAGGATTTAATAGGGGGATTGTGTCAAGAGGTAAGGGGGCAGCAAAGGGGCGTTGGAGGTGTAAAATCCAAGGAGTGCAGAGTCGGAAGGGGCACCCAAAGCACATCTAGACCAACCCCCCTCTTGGAAAGCATGAGTCGCAGCAGACATTGCAAATTGCACCAGGCTTCGATTAATGGATTTGATTAATGGCAGAATTGGATAAAACGACAGGAAGAATTCGAAACCGTCAAGACCAGAGATTCACAGAAGATTGGAAGAAATATACGAACTATTTAAAGGGCGACTATAGTCAACAAATCACGCTAGTAGGACTACAAGGAGTTTTGTACGGAGAAATATATATGAAACATTGCAAAGTAGAGAAAGAGCAGAGATATTAGTTATGAGATTTGAATGTAAGAAATGTATATGAAGCGAATAGATGGGAAAATTTTCAGATGCAATTGATGGAAGTAAAAAAAAAAAACCAACCGTACAAGATGTAAAAGTATGTTTAATTGCTGCTGAAAATGATATGTTAAAAAAACTATTTTTTTTTAAAAAAAATGACCACCAGGCTTTGGAAAGCCGGCTGCAGCTGGGTCGCGCTCGCGCCTTTCGCCCGGCCGATTAAATCACGCTGGGTTTTTAATAAATGCGCAGTTACCCATTGCCGCTTTTGAGTTTTATCATTCGCTTCCTTCACAGGCCAAGTGGAAAAGCACCGCTCAGGATAACGGGTTTTCTGCAAGGGGCACTAAGGATGGGGTTGTGGGACCAAGGTGTGTGTGTGAGGGGGTAACTCCTCGCCCCCCCCAAAAAAGAAACTGCTGGTCTGGACCCAGAACTCCCTGTGTGCCAGGAGAACCCAGGAGTCCTGGGACCTGCCTCTCTGCCTCTCTCTCCCAGGAAAATCAGCCTTCCCCCCCCCAAGGAATAGTATGGGGGGGAGAGGAGAGAGAGAACATTATGTACCAGGCGGCGCATACCAGCTGCGCACACAAACATACATCTCCAACACCGCAAGCTGCAAAATTGGAAAAGGGGAAAGAGGTTTTGCAAGGAAGCACGCCTTGAACCCAGAATAATTCTTGCAAGGGGAGATGGTTTGGGGTTTGGGTGACACCCCTGCGCGCCCCGTCGGGAGCAAAGTTCAGGGCAGGCTCACACCCGCAGAGGCCAGCGCTTGGCACGGGACCCTCCTGACCCAGTTCCAAGGTTTGCCCGCAGCCAGTTCCCTCCTCCCTGGCAGGCCGGCTCCGCACGCCACGCCTGCAAGCGCTTCTGGGCCAGGATACGGCTGGCTGGGCTGCAGAGATCTAGCCCAAAGGTCCCAGGGAAACCTTTGCTCCCAAAGCAGCCTCAAGCCGGGGGGGAGGAGAGGGACACCATTATCCTGAGATAGGTCAAGAGAGCCACGGGGAGCTCAGTATTGCATGCACTGGCTGGCAGCTGCGCTTGCACCTCGCCAGGGTGGGTGCAGTGCAGGACTGAATCCTGCAACCTTCTGTAGGTCTAGCAAGCGCTCTGCTACTGAACTGCAGCCCTTGCCCAGCCAGACACTCGGGTTCCCCCTAGCTCAATAGTGCAGACACTGGCTGGCAGCAGCTCTCCAAGGTTTCAGGCAAGGGGTCTGTCTCCCTGCCGTACCTGGAAATACTGTCGAGAAATGAACCATGGGGCCTTCTGGATGCCAAGCAGGTGTGCAGGCAAGCACCCTAGGAACAAATCAAGGTTCTATCCCTCATTGTTTTGGATTAAATGACGACATAGGAAGCTGGTGCCGAGACAGACTCTAGGTCTGTCTAGCTGGATATTGTCTACACTGGCTGGCAGCCTCCCTGGCCCTGACCAAAGAACGGCGCCTGCAGAGCAACAAGACCCTGGGAGCAAGGAGGAAATAAATAGCTTGGTTAATTAGCAGGGGGTAAACAAAAAAGGTTATGCAGAGGCCCGGGGAGCAAAGTGCAATGGTTAGAGCGGCCTTCCCCTAACCTGGGACCCTCCTGCAGGCTGGGGCTGATGGGAGTTGTCGTCCAAAAAAGCTAGAGGGCACCAGGCTGGATCAGAGCACAACAAAACGGGGGGTGGCGGCATTACAGGGTGGGTAGGGGTCTCCCAGAGGCCATCTAGTCGAACCCTGTGGCCTGCAGAGGATGTGTTTGATTGTGTGCTTGCCCATCTGTGAAATGGGCTCAAAGGACCTCTAAGGACCATCAGGGTCTCTGCCCTGATCTTGGGCTAGGAGACTCATTGAATCACAGTACTGTGCAGATGAGAGGGACCCCCAGGGGTCATCCAGCCCACCCCACTGCAATGCACCCCGTGTCTCTAGCCCTGTCACCTGCTCCCACCTGGAAGCGAGAAAAATAGACCCCCAGGCAAGAGATGTGTGTCTTTCCCAGCCCTCCTGGGATCAAACTGGGAAATTTCTGCGTGCAAAGAAGTTGATTTATCACATTTATATCCCGTACATACCTGCCCTCCCCATTTCAGCCTCGAAACAACCACCCTGTGAGGTAGGCTAGCCTAAGAGTGAGTGACTGCCCCCCCCCGGGCCACACCCTGGCCACTCCCAGGTCCTAGGTCCAGCGCTCTAACCACTACGCCACACTGTCTCTCCGAAACAGGTGGAGGGCACCCAGGATGAGGAAAGCTGGCCTGGGCATCTGAATTAAGATGCAGAAGGTCACGTGCCGTACAGAAGCTCCGTCACCACTGTTTTTGTGGAACAAAACTGCCCCTCCAGGAACCCCTGGGGGAAATCACAAACCCATAGATTTGGAAGGGGTTCCCAAAGGTCCTCTAGTCCAACCCGCTGCATCGGCGGAATCGCCAGTTTAAAGGGTCGGAAAGCAAAGACACGCCTCTGCTGGTGGCCCTGGAAAAGCCCCCCTTGGGTCGCAAACGTGGGCTTGCAGGAAGAAACAGACTGAAGGTAGCTTCGTGGAGTAGAGCCTCCACAGCTCAGCAGGGTATAGCCTCTGCCACTCGTGCAGAAGGCTCCCAGTTCAACCCCGGGCAGTTATCATCAAGTATGGGTCTACCCAAAACCAGAGAGAGCTGCTGCCCACCTGTGTAGGCAGTACTGCGGTAAATGCACCAACGGGCCTGGAGGGGGAAGGTTTGCGGCTCGGTGGCAGGACACCTGCCTGGCATGCAGAAGGCTCAATCTCCAGGGAGGGCAGGGGAAAGACTGCCAGCCAGTACCAGGCAGTGTTGAGCTAGGTGGGCCGATGGCTGACTGACTGCCAGTCAGTACCAGGCAGTATTGAGCTAGGTGGGCCAATGGCTGACTGACTGCCAGTCAGTACCAGGCAGTATTGAGCTAGGTGGGCCGATGGCTGACTGACTGCCGGTCAGTACCAGACAATATTGAGCTAGGTGGGCCGATGGCTGACTGACTGCCGGTCAGTACCAGGCAGTATTGAGCTAGGTGGGCCAATGGCTGACTGACTGCCGGTCAGTACCAGGCAGTATTGAGCTAGGTGAGCCGATGGCTGGCGCCGTATAAAGCTTCCTATTACAAAGCTTCCTATTGCATCGCTCGCGTAAGTAAGCCACGCTTCTGGTGGGGAATTGAGGTCCCAAGGCCAATTCCTGGAGAGCCACTGCTGCCAGCCTGTGTGGGCCATGGCCTGAGCTGAACAGCAGCAGCAGCACCTTAGGAATAAATAGTAAAAAATTAAGAACATCCCCCCTCCCCAAGGCGTGTTTGGCTTAAAAGGCTGAAGATACTCCAAGAAAGTAAGGAGAACCCACCCAGTTGGGGATCCTGTTTGACAGTGGCCAAATGCCCCTTATAATTAAGAATCAAGATAGACTGCCACTGGGCCTGGAGGCTCCACAGCAGCATCAGAACAACCCTGCTGGATCAGGCCGGGGGGGGGGGGCATCTAGTCCAGCATCCTGTCCCCACAGTGGCTGAAAAATTGCCTGTGAGAAACCAGCAAGCAGGATCTGAGCACGAGAGGAACTCAAGAGCAGCCACTGACCGTTCAAATCCTGCAGCAGGGAGTTCCAGAGTTTAACTCCACGGGTCACATGCCGGAATTGCCCCCCAGCGCAGCCCAGGCTGAGTGGCATGGGTCAGAGGCACAGCAGCTCCTCGCCATGCCATGCCACCACGATGCTCTCATGCCACCCCCCCTGCCAACGTGGACCCCCCCTTCCCACTCACCCTTGGAGTGAAGCTCCACCAGTGCTGTGTACCACGCTTGCTGCTGTTCCGCGTCCTCGGCTGCCACCCCGAAGGTGCCGTCGCGCCCGTAGAGCACGATGAGGTGCCTGTGCCGGGCGTCCGCCCGCTTGTTGACGTTGAGGGCGCTGGCCAGCAGGTAAGTCCTCTTGGGGCGCGTGCAGAGGCCCCCCGCCCGGAACTTCTTCTCGTTTTCGTAGTATTCCAGGCGAGGGGGGCCTCGCTCGCTGCCGCGCCGCAGGACGAAGAAGCGCCGGCGGTGGGACTTCTGCTTGCGCAGGTAGCCGCACAGGTGGACGTCCGAGAAGGCGGAGTCGGTCACGGAGGGGTCCATGGCCGCCGGGACTCTAGAAGCCCTTTGCCCAGCGCATGCCAAGGCCCGGGAGGGGGAAATTAACAGAACAGACTCTTGCTAAAGCGACAGATGGCACAGAATCATCCACTGTGATGCCCCGAGTACCAGATTTCGGGCACGTTATGCACACAGAAAAACGTGAGGCCAGTTTTGGTGCCAGGGACAAGGCAAGCCACATCCAGAGGACCCCAGGGCACAAAGGGGGCACCGAACAAAGAGTGGCTGGCCGATTCGGGAAGGAATGAGGAGGGGGAGCCCGGCTACATGCCCGTGCAACCAACAAGAGACCACCTTTCAGGGGTGTCGCACGACGGGAAGAGCGAAAGGTCCTTCTGAAGCTGTCCGGAGAGGTTCGGAGAGAAAAGGCTCACATCCCAGGAGCAGCCGTCATCCCTTGCAAATCGGAAAGAGCCTCAGCGAATTGCTTCCAGGACCCATCCGCCCACCAGGTTGGCACAGAATAGCTTCCCTTCTCTCAGGCTCAGGTGTCACCAACTCACGCCAGGTGCGAGATTTAGCTCATTTCTTCTTTCTAGAGGAAAACATACACACGTAAAACAGTGTGTCAGCCAAGTTCTTCCAAGTTGCAAAGTTACAAAAAAGAAGAAGGGGAAAACCAACGACGCCGAAATCGTGTTTGTAACCTGGACAGTTTTGGCAACGATCTTCTCCCCCCACGCCAAAAAAAACCCCTTGTTTGCCTTGGAAGGAGAGTCCTTTTCCAGCAGACAAAGTCTCCTTTTTTTCAAAAGCTACCGCTTGCAGTTTGATTCTAATAAAAATCACATGCGAAGAGAGAGCAGGAAGGGGGAAATAAATCATCGCCGTTTTTTCCATGGCAAGTGTGGCGCTCTCTGGACTTAGCAGCTGCTAAATAAAATAAAAAATGTTTGCGCTCAGCCTCCCACCCCTAAAAGAAAGGGGGGGGGAATGGATTCATTGCAAAAAAAGTATTTCAGATACCATTATTATTATTATTATTATTAATGGGATGGTAATAAGGAAGGAATGGAATCAGGTCATGTGGTCCCTTGACTGGCCAGGAGGAATGTTTCTGGGTCTCTCATTAACCTGGGCTTGCCGTGGGGGGAGAACATTTTAATGTGCTTTCTAGGCACCCCCCCCCAGCCCAGCAGAGAACGTCTAGAGGGGTTTTTGCATCATCTCAACACTGCAAATCGAAAGGGAACTTTAACAGGGAACATCTGCTCCAAAGGGGAAAAAATGTCAACCGCAATCGTTGGCAAAATTTGGGATTGTGTGGCAAACTTCAGAGCTTAGTGCAAGTTTGCAAATTTCTGGCTGCCCCCTTTCTCTAACGCAGAAAAACAAACAAAAAAATTTCTTCCACTGAATAAAAAATAGGTGTTGGAACCACCGTGTTAGAGGCGGCTCTGAGCTCTAAGCAAGGAAAACAGGAGCGATTGATAACAGGGCTGAGGGACCCCAGAGAAGCAAACACATACGGCGACTCCCGACGTACTCAAGTGACACATATACACGTGAACTGAAAATAAAAGTCGCCTTTAAACCTGCAAGATGAGGTTTCCCGAGGAACGCATTCCGAAACTACAAAAGTGGGTGAAAGGCGGGCGCGGGGGTAGAATTGGCCAGTTTGACACACATGCGCGGAGAGGGGCGACTTTTTTTTTATTTTTGCCAAGTGTTTTGCAAGAGCGGGGGGGGGGTGGGGGGAATAGGGAAAGCTGGCTTTTCAAGCGCAGAAAACGCAGCTGGCTTTTCAATAAATAAACAAGTCAAGCCTCCGATTCGCTCCCAAACCTTTTTCCAGAGAGAGGAGGGGCGCGCGCGCTCCAATGGTCACCCAAGAAGAACCAGCAGAGGAGGAGAAAAATCTAGGGCGGCCAAAAAAACAACAACTTGCGAGCCGCTTCTGCAGCCGCCTCTAGCCAAGCAGGAAAAACAAATTTTATAAAAAGGGCTGGGGAGGAGTGCGGGGTTTACCAAACCAGGGATTTTTTCCCCATCTCTCTCTCTCTCTCCACCCCGCTCCACCCGCAAACACACAGGCGCGCGCCCAAACGCACCTTCCTCTCCTTTTAAATCGCAATTAAACCTCTTGCTGCAAGGCGCAGCTGCCATTAACCTGGCCGCGGCTTGCAATCCTGCTCACCCTTCCGCCTCTTGCCTCCGCGCACCGAAGGGCTGCAGCTGGTGGGTTGCAAGGGGTTTTTGGGGGGCCGCTCCCCTCTTGCAAGCTGCCGTCGCCCAGCAAGGAGGATCCTGCGCCTCTTCTCTGCACACCGACCACGTGCCTCTCCTTTCTCTTCCTTCTTGCAGCAAAGAAACCAGGACCTCCTCCTCCTCCTCTACGTCTGGGGTCTTTAACTCCGCTGCCGGGTCCGGGGGATTTGGAGAGGCTGGGCGCGCCCGGGAGTCCGCAGCGCCCGTTACGCAGCACGGCGCGGGCCCAGCAAGGCTCTTGCAAGCCCCCCCACTTTGGGCTCCCTCCCAGGCTGGTTTATCCTCATGCAAACTGCAAACAGACCCACATGCCCGCCTGCCCTGCATTTATACCCAGCGCTGGCTGCAGCCGGCAGGAGGCGGCGCGGTCCTAGCGCCCGCGGGGTCTCGGAGATGCGCGCGGCTTGCGAAGCAGAGATGCGCGCACTTTTGCAAAAGGCGTCGACTCCCCAGGGCCCGGCAGGGGCGGGGAATATATATATATATCGCGTGAAGGGTGTTGTTTTTTGCACGCGAGGCGCACACGTATTAACCAGGGGCCTGATCCAGCTCTGAAATAAAACGGGATTTGCGCGAGGGAGCCTTGCAGGATCGGGCCCGGGATGGGTCAGATCCTGTAGCCTTGTAGATAACGTCTCCTTCACTGGAGGCTTAAAGTACCGGGGGTTCTTTAGCAGTTTTTCCTACATTGCAGCGGGTTGGGCTGGATGACCCCTGGGGAGCCCTCGCGACACGACAATTCCATAAACTTTCTTGGGCCGCTAAACTCAGCCCTGCTTTCTAATTCTCCATGCGCCCCTCACCTTTTCCCCTCTTTCCAACACCCCCTCCATTTTCTAGTTATTTATATCTTTTTTCCAACTCTCTAACATTAGAAATCTGCCCCGGGGCCCTTGCTGGATCACACCGCAGAGCCTAGCACACCCAGCTAAAATCCAGGGTGAAATCTAGTCCCGGAACCCTCCTGCCTAGACTACTGCAGTGCGCTGCCCGCCTTGGGCTGCCCTTGAAGACTGTTCCAGAATCTGCTGCCCTCTCAAAACCTGTTTTAACCCGTGAGGGTTCGGTGGGTCCCCACTTTGCCCAGTTTGCACCAGGCCCATCCAGGCGCTGGTTTTGTCTCTTAAAGCGCTGCTGGGGGGACGGCAACCCGGAGTTGTCAAGAAGGCCTGCTCCATCCATCCATGCTCTCAGGTCTTCCGGAAAAGGTAGAACAGGACTGATTCCTGCATTGCAGGGGGTTGGACTGGATGACCTTTGGGGGTCCCTTGCAACTCTAAAATCCTGAATTCTTCGCCTCCTTCCCTCCCTGCTTTTTCAGACTCCCACCCCTGGCGCCTCCCCCGATTCACTCGCTGCCTAATCGGCGCGCCAAATCCACTTTCCCCCAGTGGGCTCGTGTAAACGGGAGTGGCTCCGAATCGAAAGATCCGGATTTCCAGGCAGACGGGGTTCCCGATTGCAAGGGCAGGAGGGCGCATGCATGCGGCGGCTTGCACCAGCGGGCAGCAGCCCGCGCCCCCCCCCCAGGCGGCTGCATCAGGCGCGGGCCCAGCTGGACGTCAGCGCCGGCGGCTCCGGTGTAGCCTCGGCTCGCCAATCCGCAGTCGGCTCCGGCTCTCCTTGCGCAATGTTGCCACCCAGCGGCCAATCGGAGGCGGCCTCCGCGCTCCCCTTTTCCTGTCGCGTCAGCTCCCCCCTCGAACACGTGTGTGGCTTGCTGGTTGCGTGTTTGGGGCGCGTCGTCTGAACGGAACAGCCAGGACCTCCGGGGGTGCAGTGGGGGGTGAGCGCGCAAGACCTCCTGATGACAGAGTCATGACGTCTTTCGCGCACATCCTTTCCAATCAAACATTCATTTAGTTGGTGGCAGTTAGCAATACAAAACACGTGTGATTGCAGTATACGGGATCTCCCGGTGCCCGCGAATAACGAGATCCATAATTGCAGGGGAGGTTCGCTGGAGGCGTGTGCAATAAATTGGGCAAGGTCCATTAATCCAGATTTTTATTCTTATTTTTATAAAACGATTTCCTGTAGATGAGGACTGGACGTAGCCTTTCCCAAAGCTCTGGTTTTCCCAGTAGTGATGTATGGAAGTGAGAGCTGGACCATAAAGAAGGCTGATCGCCGAAGAATGGATGCTACTGAATTCTGGTGCTGGAGGAGACTCTTGAGAGTCCCATGGACTGCAAGAAGATCAGACCTCTCCATTCTGAAGGAAATCAGCCCTGGGTGCTCACTGGAAGGACAGATCCTGAAGCTGAGGCTCCAGCACTTTGGCCACCTCATGAGAAGAGAAGACTCCCTGGAAAAGACCCTGATGCTGGGAAAGATGGAGGGCACAAGGAGAAGGGGACGACGGAGGACGAGATGGTGGGACAGTGTTCTCGAAGCTACCAGCATGAGTTTGACCAAACTGCAGGAGGCAGTGGAAGACAGGAGGGCCTGGCATGCTCTGGTCCAGGGGGTCACAAAGAGGCGGACACGACTAAACGACTAAACAACAACAACAACATTTTTTGTGTGAGATCCCGCAGTCCCATTGCAAAGGCTGCTTGTCTCCCAAGTCATGCAGGCACACAAACAGACGCCCAGCTCACTTGGTGCAAACGCTCAGATAATTCCAAACTGGGCGTCGAGTTGCGTTTGAACAACAAGGGCTGGGGAAGGGCGATAAGGTGCCCCCCACCCCGCGGCTAGGAGCCGTTGGGCGCTGATCCAGGGGCTTTTCCAGCACCCTGAGAGTAGCTCAGGGCAGAGGCGTTCTGGCCAGCGAAACTCCGGAGGCGCCGCTGGCCTCCAATCCAGGAAAATTAGAGCACATCACATTTTGCAGCGAAAGGAGGCAGAAATGCTTCTGGATGCTTCCAGCTGTTGGAAACCTCAGGAGGGGAGAGTTGCCTTTGCCCTCTGTTTTTGTTTTGGAGGCTCCTCCTTGGGGCACCTGGTTGGCCACCGTGAGAACAGGACGCTGGGGTAGATGGGTGATGGCCTCTTCCCATGTTCTGACATTAAAAAGTGGGAACACGAAACACCAGAATTTGCGACCATCCAGTGATGGTCCCTATCTTCCCTATCTTCTTCTTCTTCTTTGGTGATCCCTCGTAGCCGAGTAAGATGGTCTTCCATAAACACGGTTTTAACAGTGAATCCGTAAGTGACTGTGGAGGCCAATTCTGGACCCACACGTCCTTCCACAGTGGGGACATTGGTTTCCAGGTGGGAGTTGATCATGGTGTGGATTTGCCAAGCGTGCCTTCCTCTTAGCACATTTCTCCCTTGCGTCCTGAGTTCGAGTGTCTTCAAAGCTCATGACACCTTTGGTAAAGGCTGTTCTCCAACTGCAGCGCTCGCAGGCCAATATTTCCCAATTATCAGTGTTTATACTACATTTTTTTAGATTTGCCTTGAGACAGTCTTTAAACCTCTTTTGTTGACCACCAGCATTACGCTTTAAGTTCGGAATAGAGTAGTTACTTTGGAAGACGATCATCCGGCATCCGCACAACATGACCAGTCCAACGAAGTTGATATTGAAGAATCATCGCTTTGACACAGCTGATCTTTGCTTCTTCCAGTTCACTGATATTAGTTCGCCTGTCTTCCCAAGTGATGTGTAAAATTTTTTGGAGACACCGTTAATGGAATCTTTCGAGGAGTTGGAGATGGCGTTTATAAGTGGTCCACATTTCACTAGCATACAGTAAGGTTGGTAGTACAATAGCTTTGTAAACAAGCATTTTGGTTTCCCTGCGAATGTCCCGGTCCTCAAACACTCTGCACTTCAATTGGGAGAAAGCCACACTCACAGAGCTCAGGCGATGCTGAATTTTGGCATCAATGTTGGCCCTTGTGGAAAGATAACTGCCTAGGTAGGAGAAGCGATCGACATTTTCCAACGTTACACCACTGAGTTGGATTTGTGGCGCTGCAGAGGGGTTATTTTGTACTTGTTGGTGCAGCACTTTGGCTTTTTGGATGTTGAGCGACAGGCCAAGCTTTTCGTAAGCTTCTGCAAAGATATTTAGGATGGTTTGGAGGTCACCCTCTGAGCGTGCGCACACTACGTTGTCATCAGCATACTGAAACTCTGACGGAAGTTACGGTAACCTTACTCTTTGCTTTCAGCCTGCTCAGATTGAAAAGCTTTCTTTCCATCTGTTTGATATATGATTTCTACTCCGGTGGGGAGTTTCCCTTCGACAAAGTGTAGGATCATGGCAATGAAAATAATGAATAGAGTTGGGGCAATAACACAACCCTGGAATAAACCCTTCGAATAGATCAAGGAGGATTAGGTAAATTCCTAGAGGAGGAAGGCAAGCAACAGGTTACCAGCCACAGTGGTTATTCTCTCCCATCACAGTTGGATTCTGTGTCCAGTTCTGGGCAGCGCAATTTAAGAAGGATGTTGACAGGCTGGAAGGTGTGCAGAGGAGGGAGACGAGATGATCAAGGGTCTGGAAACCGAACCTTGTGAGGAATGGTTGAGGGAGTTGGGGATGTTTAGCCAGGAAAAGAGGAGAGGAGATATAAGAGCCATCTTCACTTATCTCAAGGGCTATCACATGGAAGAGGGAGAAAGCTTGTTTTCTCCTGCTCAGGAGGGCAGGACTCAAACCCATGGCTTCAAGTGACAAGAAAGGAGATTGCAGCTCAACATCCGGAAGAACTTTCTGACAGTAAAAGCCGTTCAGCAGTGCAACGGGTTCCCTCGGAAGGTGGTGAATTCTTCTCCCTTGGAGGTTTGTAAGCAGAGTTTGGATGGTCACCTTTCCGGGATGCTTTAGCTGAGATTCCTGCATCACAGGGGGTTGGGCTGGATGACCACCGGGGTCCCTTCCAACTCTGCAGTTCTGTGATTCCTCTCCAGCTGTTTCAGACCACAACACAGGGGGAGGACAGGTGGAGGGAGGCTGTTCTAAAAGGTGGAGGTGGAAGGGGACCCACGGCCAGCAAAGGGAGCTTTTGCTGCCAGGATCATGCCAGGTTCCGCACGTGGCAAAGGACATTATGGCCAGCTGCCCATAAAAGCAGCAAGTTCCCGTAAAGAGCAGCTGTTAAATCCCTTTACCAGGAAACGGTTCCCTTCTCTCTGCCGCCTTTTCTTTCCTGCGGAAGGAAAACAATTTTAAAAAGCGCCATTCATAATAACAGTATCTGTGGCTTCAAATACAAACTGCATTCATTTTGTCTGTTTACAAATTGCCATCTGTTAATTTTTTGTTTTTTATTTGCAGGTTTGGGCGATTGGCGTGGAGGAAGAGGTTTCTGGGGGAGGAAGTTCTGCGTCACAGGATCATAGAACGGCAGATTTGCAAGGGAGCCCCAAAACATACCTAGCCTAACCCCCCAAAAGGCAGGAATCCTATAGCCTGTGTTCACGTGCAGGGAAGAAAATCCCAGAGAAAGACAGATTTGCTCTGTTAAATTCCAGCTAAGCGTTTGCATCCCCGATTAACGCCTTGATCGGGCAATTCATGCGATGCTATGACCCCTTCTGAACCAGAATATTAAATCGGGGCTTGGTGCAAGGATCTGGCCCCTACCCATTTGCGATGAGAGATGTCCTCAAGAAAAAAGGATCAAGGTTAAGCAAGGGCAGACAGAGGGCAGGAAACTATTTACACCAAACACTTGGGCCCCTGATAAGTTATCTCTGCGGCAGGCGTTGTCCCCCCGCCCCCCCCCCCGAGAAAGATCCTTGGACAAGTCCTTGGAGGTTAGAACATCAGACAAGGTTAGTGGCGCCCCCCTGCCTCCGTCCTGTGGCAGGGAGTTCCACAGATGAACGGTGTGCTGAGTGAGGAAGGGCTTTCTTTTATCTGCCCTGAATTCCCACACTGCAGAGGGGGTTGGGCTGGATGACCCCTAGGGGTCCCTTCTGACCCTACGTTCTTCTATGAAACTTCCGACATTCAGTTTCCTTGAATGCCCTCAAATTCTAGCCTTAGGGGAGAGTTAGGGTAGCTTTTTCCCTGGTCCCTGGGAATCTCTAGGGACCAGAGATTCTTAGAAGACTGGAGTAAATATTTGAAAAGCAATTGTAATAACGCTAGTAGGACTGCAAGAAGTTCTGTAAGGAGGACGATGCAAAATATTGCAAGGAAGACTATGATGAGAATTATTAGTTAACGGTAATTAAAAGCAATAGAGAAATAATTAAGAAATGCAGAATAAGTGATAAAGAACGGAAAATCTTCAGTGGTGGTTGACGAAAGTCCAAAATATTGAATAAGATAAGAAGTTATGTTAAATGACTGTTGGAAATGATATGTTAAAAAATTAATAAAAATGTGTATATATATAAAAAGATAGCTTTTCCCTGTGCGTTTTCCCCACGACATGAGTAATATTATAATAATCTACCATGGGCCAGGCTGATTTGCGAGGCCCTGATCGTTAGGGGCGCCTAACGATGATGACCTGGACTTCTGCTGCGTCGTCCCCCCCCGGCAGAACACCCCCCTTTGCTGGGACCCCAAAGCTCAGGCCTCTGCCAGCCCACGGTGCCCCCGCAGCTTCACCCACGTCAAGCCCATTTACTGGAATTGGAGCTAATAAAATTTGTTCCTGGCTCGCGGAGAGAAAGGAGGAGAAGTGGAAGGAGGGAGCGATAAACAATTAGGGCCTTAATTATATTGAGCACGGCTTCCTCTGGGTTTTCTGCGGTGGTCTAAGTGGTTTGGGAGATGAGCTCGGGGCTTATGCCGCAGCAGGGCAGGGAGTGGGGGAATCGAAATCTTGACACCCCTCCCCTTTCCCTGAGTAATTAATTAAAAACAACAACAACGAAGGGGCTTATCACAGAATTGTAGCATTGGAAGGGACCCCCAAAGGTCATCCATCCCAACCCCCTGCAATGCAGGAATCCCAGCTTGTGACACCAGAAAGAATGGCTTTCGTCAGATGCGTGTTACGTTCTTGGGAGCAGGCCTCCCGTTTTATCTTCACAGCAGCCCTGCGAGGCAGTCTAGCCACGAAATAATAATAATAATAATAATAATAATAATAATAATAATAATAATAATAATTTATTATTTATACCCCGCCCATCTGGCTGAGTTTCCACGGCCACTCTGGGTGGCTCCCAATCGAGTGTTAAAAACAATACAGCATTAAATATTAAAAACTTCCCTAAACAGGGATAAGATAGCTGCTTATTACCTTGACATCTGGTGGGAGGGCATTCCACAGGGCGGGCGCCACCACCGAGAAGGCCCTCTGCCTGGTTCCCTGTAACCTCACTTCTCGCAATGAGGGAACTGCCAGAAGGCCCTCGGAGCTGGACCTCAGTGTCCGGCTGAACAATCGGGGTGGAGACGCTCCTTCAGATATACTGGACCAAGGCCATTTAGGGCTTGAAAGGTCAGCACCAACACTTTGAATTGTGCTCGGAAACATACTGGGAGCCAATGCAGATCTCTCAGGACCAGTACGATGTGGTCTCTGTGGCCGCTCCCAGTCCCCAGTCTGGCTGCTGCATTCTGGATTAATTGCAGTTTCCGGGTCACCTTCAAAGGCAGCCCCACATAGAGCGTGTTGCAGTAGTCCAGGCGGGAGATAACCAGAGCATGCACCACTCTGGCCAGACAGTCTGTGGGCAGGGAGGGTCTCATCCTGTGTACCAGATGGAGCTGGTAGACAGCTGCCCTGGACACAGATTTGACCTGTGCCTCCATGGACAGCGGTGAGTCCAAAATGACTCCCAGGCTGCGCACCTGATCCTTCAGGGGCACAGTTGCTCCATTCAGGACCAGTGAGTCCTCCACACCCGCCCGCCTCCTGTCCCCCCAAAACAGGACTTCTGTCTTGTCAGGATTCAGCCTCAATCTGTTAGCCGCCATCCATCCTCCAGCTGCCTCCAGACACTCACACAGGACCTTCACCGCCTTCACTGGTTCTGATTTAAAGGAGAGGTAGAGCTGAAACATAGCGGTTGGCCAAAGGTCACCTCCTGACCTTCGTAGCTGAGTTAGGAATTTGAGGGGAAGGGTGTCTAGAGTTTGGGGGGCCCAAGCTGTGATGAAAATGATGTATAGGTGGCATATTACTCCTGTGAAACTAGCTAGAATGTATAAAGTTAGTAATAAATGTTGGGAATGTAAAGAAAAAGAAGGAACATTTTATCACATGTGGTGGGAATGAAAAAAATTGAAAAACTTCTGGGAAATGATATACAGTGGTGCCCCGCAAGACGAATGCCTCGCAAGACGGAAAAACCGCTAGACGAAAGGGTTTTCCGTTTTGAAGTTGCTTCGCAGGACGAATTCCCCTATGGGCTTGCTTCGCAAGACGAAAATACCTTGCGAGTCTTGAGATTTTTTTCGCTTTTCCCCCCCTTTATCTAATCTGCTAAGCCTTTAATAGCCTTTAATAGCCTTTTAGCAGCTAATCCCCTAAGCCTTTAAGCCTTTAATAGCCGCTAAACCGCTAATAGCGCTAATAGCGCTAATCCGTCAATGGGCTTGCTTCGCAAGACGAAAAAACCGCTAGACGAAGACTCTCGCGGAACGGATTAATTTCGTCTTGTGAGGCACCACTGTATGATGAGATGAAAAGGATGTTGAAATATACATTTATTAAGAAACCAGAAGCAATTTTACTTGGCATTGTAGGAGATGATATAAACAGAAAGGATTGTAAGTTGTTTTTATATGCAGTGACGGTAGCCAGAATACTATTGGCACAAAAATGGAAGCAAGAAGAACTACCGACGAAAGAAGAATGGAGGATGAAACTGATGGACTATGCAGAATTAGATAAATTAACAGGAAGGATTCGAAACCTGCGGGATCAGAGATTCTTAGAAGTTTGGAGTAAATATAGGAACAATTTGAAAAATAATAGGAATGAGCAGGTTATGCTAGTAGGATTGCAAGAAGTTTTGTAAGGAAAATTATTGCAAAAAAGATAATGAGGAGTATTATCAGTTAAGGGCAATTAAAGGTAATATGAAACTAAGAAATGCATAATAAGTGATAAAGAATGGAAAACCATCAGAGGTGCTGACAGGAGTCTAAAAATATAGTATAAGATGAGAAGTTATGTTGTATGACTGTTGGAATTGATACGTTAAAAAATTAATAAAAATGTACATATAAAAAAATAAGAGTTTGGGGCCCAGTGTCAACTGATTTGAAGTGGTTGTCTTGTGCAGGGTTCTGGTCGCCTCGCCTCAAAATGGATACTGTCAAGTTGGGAAAGGTTCAGAAAAGAGCAACCCAAATGACTGAGGGGATGGAGGAACTCCCCTGCTCATAGTTAGGCGGTGGAACTCCCTGCCACAGGAGGCAGCCATGGCCAGCAACCTGGATGGCTTTAAAAGAGGATTAGAAAAATTCACGAAGGAGGAGAGGGTGATTGATGGCTGTCAACCATGATGGCTGTTCTGTGCCTCCATTAATAGGGGCAGCAATGCTTCTGGATATCAGTTGTTGGAAACGTCCAGAGGGGAGAGTCAAGGGCCATTGGGAGGTGTTGCTTGGCACTGTAGGAGATGAGATTAATAGACAGGACAGTAAATTGTTTTTATATGCAATGACGGCAGCCAGAA